CAGTGCCTCTGTCTGACAGCCGTGAAAGATGCTGTAAGGTCCTGAGGGCAGTGATGTCACAGAAAAACACCCAGCTGTGTGTCTGAGGAAGTCACGCTGTCAGTGAGAGCTGCCCAGGCGAGCTTGGGTGCCTTCCTCTGCCTTCAGAAGGACGCTGTTGGTAACGGCTGGAGGGTTTTGCTGCCATAAGGAGCCTTGCCATGTCGGGCACTGCGACCTTGGAAACCTCGTTCCCCCAGCAGAGCATGAATCTTAGCATAGGCAGCTGCTGTGGGAAGTAACGCCAGCGACCTGAACGGCAGGAACGTGCTGTGCTGCATGGGGCCGTTCTGCAAGTGTCCTGATCAGCCTTTCTGCAGGAGAGCTCCCCACATTGTTTCTACACTCACTCTGTTTCTTTCCAGTGCTCCACAATGAACAGCCTGGTGGAGATGATGCAGCAGCTGCAGCTGAGGGACTGAGAGGAGCAGCATCAGCCGGCAGCGCTGCGGCGTGCGGCGTTACAGGGCAGCGCTGCGAGTGCCGCCCAACTCCAACTAAACTTTGGTTGTGGTCAATAAAAACATCACCAGTAGAGATGGACACAGAGCGCACGGCCTGATTTGTGCAGCGGCAGCCAGGAGCTGCTGCTCCAACGACTTCCTGGCGCACTCACACAACCCTGTGCACTCACACACACTGCCTGCACCTCCTGGCACACCTGTGTGCAACCATCCGAACGCACGGGCAAAGGTGTGCAAAGCCACACAGCCTTGTGCAGAGCCCTCGGTGCACACGCCGTGTTCATGCACACGGACACGCACACGTGTGTGCTGCCATGTTCTGCTTCTGGCCTTCGGTGTCTGGAGGGGGGCGGCAAGAAAGAAGGGCAAAGAGTGAGAGTTTAGATGGGACGGATGGCAGAAGTCTGTCACAATAAGGGTGGCACTGGAGCAGGGACACTGTCATGGGAAAAAAGCCAGATTGAAGAGGAAAAACAGGGATTTCGGGGAGAAAAGCCCAGATGTAAGGAGAAAAGCAGGGATTTCTGGGAGAAAACTTCACATTTAAGGGAAAAAACAGGGATTTTTGGGAGAAAAAGCCAGATTTAAGGGGAAAAACAGGGATTTCTGGGATAAAAAGCCACATCCATGGAACAGATCCTCCTGGATGACATGCTCAGCCACGTGAGGGATGGGCATGTCATCTGTGACAGTCAGCATGGCTTCACCAGAGGAAGGTCATGCTTGACCAATCTGGTGGCCTTCTATGATGGAGTGACGGCATCGGTGGACAAGGGAAAGGTGACCAATGTCATTTACCTGGACTTGAGCAAGGCCTTTGACATGGTCCCCCACCACATCCTCATCTCCAAATTGGAGGGATGTGGATTTGATGGATGGACCACTAAGTGGATAAGAAACCAGTTGAAAGGCTGCAGACTTTCAGAGGGTGGTCATCAATGGCTCTGTGTCCAGGTGGAGGCTGGTAACAAGAGGCGTCCCCCAGGGCTCTGTGTTGGGACCGGTGCTCTTCAACATCTTTATCAATGATGTTGATGTAGGAATCGAGTGCATCCTCAGCAAGTTCACTGATGACACCAAGCTGAGCGGTGAGGTCGACACAGTTGAAGGAAGAGATGCCATGCAGAGGGACTTCGAGAGGCTGGAAAGGTGGGCAGGGTGAACTTGATGAGGTTCAACACAGCAAAGTGCAAGGTTTTGCACTTGGGCCGGAGGAATCCCAGGCATCCATACAGGCTGGAAGGAGCGGTGCTTGAGAGCAGCCCTGTGGAGAAGAACCTGGGGGTCCTGATGGATGAAAAGCTTAATATGAGCCAACAGTGTTGCGGCTCAGAGGGCAAATGGTATCCTGGGGTCCATCAGAAGAGGGGTGGCAGGCAAGGACAGGGAGGTGATTGTCCCCCTCTACTCTGCTCTTGTGAGGCCCCATCTGGAGTACTGCGTCCAAGCGTGGAGCCCGTAGTACAAAAAAGACAGGGAGCTATTGGAGAGGGTCCAGAGGAGGGCCACTAGGATGATCTGGGGACTGGAGCAGCTCCCCTATGAGGACAGGCTGAGGGAGCTGGGCTTGTTCAGCCTGGAGAAAAGAAGGCTGCGAGGTGACCTCATTGCAGCCTGCAGTACCTAAAGGAGCCTACGGAGGGGAGGGGAATCAACTCTTTGAAAGGGTTGACATGTGTAGGATGAGGGGCAATGGTTTTAAGTTGAGGGAGGGGAGATTGAGGTCAGACATCAGGGGGAAATTCTTTACCCAGAGAGCGGTGAGGTGCTGGAACAGCTGCCCAGAGTGGCTGTGGATGCCCCGTCCTTGGAGGTGTTCAAGGCCAGGTAGGATGGGTCCCTGGGCAGCCTGGTTTAGCATTCAACGTGGAGGTTGGTGGCCCTGCACGTGGTAGGGGGGTTGGAGATTCATGATCCTTGAGGTCCCTTCCAACCCTGGCCATTCTGTGATTCTGTGATTTGTGTTTCACGCTTGTTGCAGTGTATACAAGAAGTGATACAGGATGCTTTGAACCGTGCCTTTTTTATTAATAAGGAAGGGGGAGATGTGGGGGGAAGATGTAACTGTGAGCAGTCAGCAAAGAGTTTATCAGACTCCTTAATAGACCCTGTCACTGTGAAACCTTGGGAGCCTGGAGTGTAAGACTGAGAGCAAACGGGATCTCTTTGCACCTAAGGGTAAACAGGAGGTTCTGTTTGTATGCACTGTTAACCTCATCACACTTCAGAAACCTTTCATGCTTTGTCACTGTTGTTTGGGAGAAGCTAGGCCAATTAACTGATGAGAGGGACAGGATTTTCCTGCTGGTAAGTGAATGGGATGTAAGATGTATGTTGAACACCATAAAGCAGAACTATTCGGGGAACGATTCTGATGCTACAAGAAACCGCGCGAGCTCTCTAATTCCACTGAGCGCCGACAACTGGCGTCCAAACAGGGACCCGAAGACTGACCGGTCCGGAGCACGTTGAGAAAAGCGTGACAGGTGCCGAGAAAAGCACGGAGCACGCTGAGAATAGCGTGGCACTGAGAGAAGCGTGGGTGCGCTGAGAGAAGCGCCACAACCTGAGGATTCATCGCCCCGACAGCTCGGATTGCCTTTCTCCGGACCGTTGCCGTGGGGATTAATGTGAGCTCCGAACAAAGAACGTCCCAGTTACTTTACAGATTATTCTTAAAAAACGGGGAAAAACGGTGCCCGCTGCCATTTTACAGCACGTGAGTGACCCCTCGATCACAAATCAGGCAATTTTCGATCCCGAAGTAGAGGACCGGGTCGGGGTGATGCTATGGGACGCTGCTACTGTGGGTGGTACAACAGCGTTCGGGGAGCTGCAGGAAGGGAGAAAGCTCTTTGAAGCGCTAAAGAGCCACTTAAGATCGCCATCTGACAGCCCCAGTGTGCCTGAGGGCAAGGGAGCGGCTGGTTGCTCTACAGATCAGCCCGCAGTGCCATCGGCTGCCGGCCGCCGCCATCGGATGGATTTTTACTGTGTCGCCCCCCGAGGATCCCGGCGGCGGGAAGAGACGGATTTGTCCCCTCCTGATCCACGCGCAGCTGCTGGGTGGGAGGCCAGGAAAGCCGGAAGGACGGAGAGGTTGAAAGCTTCCCCTGTTATCCCTGTAGCCCCAGATCAGAGCCGTGCTGGGAAGCGTTGTTGCACGGCGTCCTGCAGGACTTGGGACGCACGGTCACAGCCGCGCCCCCGTGTGAAGCGCTGGCATCGCTTGCATCGCTCAGCTGCTTCATTCTCGGGCACAGCCGGCGCCAGCTGCGCCCACGAAAAGGGTGCTGCAGGGTTCGGATCAACGGGGACCCGCGCACAGAAGTTGGATGTTTCCGGACTTGTCACGGCGGACTTCAAAGACTGCTTTTGCACCATCTCTCTGGACCCCCACGGTGCTCCGAGGTTTGTTTTTTCGCCCTCTCTGCAGAGATCAGCACCAGCCCAGCAGCATCACTGGACGGTATTGCCTCCGGGCATGGGAAACAGCCCTGCAATCCGCGCAGATAACGGCCCGGGATCCCTATCCCAGAAAGTATGACAGTGTTACAGTGTTACAAGATAAGCCATAGCGGAGCACACCCAGAGCATCCTTAAAGCTATGCTACTTCAGCAAAGCAGAGGGAATGCAGGAGGCACTTCCAGCTGCAAGGCTTGCTGAACCTATACTATATTGAACTTTTTAAAGCAAGGATGTGAATACAGAGCACAGCCAATAGCCCTCATTTCGTTTCAGTTGACTGGGAAAGAGTGACTATTAATGGAAAAACTATGATACAAGTACAGAACCTGAATCATGTGAATGGAAAGGCTCTCATTCCCACGGATAACTCGGGGGAGAGGAAGCATCTTGAGGATAAACTGTACTGGTTATTGTCTCTCTCTTTGTGATTGGTAAATGCTTATGGCACATGAAAGTGTAACTGTTAATGGCATATGGAAATGTAATTGATAATGGTATACGGAGGAGGAATTGTTAACAGTGCACAGAAGTGTAAGTGTTAATGCTGTATGGAAGTGCAAACATTAATGCTGAATGGAAGAGGAGTTAAGAATGGAACATGGAAGCGTAACTGAGGGTACAAGTAGTGGAATTGTGAGAAACAAAACAACAAAAGCAAAAACCAGCCGAAAGTTTAAAGGAGAACAGTGAGTGAAAATATTCAAGTCTGTGATCTGCTCGAGCCAAAGCAGATCAGTGCCGGCAAGAGAACGCATCCCCGCACTGCTCCTCCCCCCGCTGGTAACCAGAACGCAAACAAAGCGTTAACTGCGAATGGGGACGAAAACAAAGCGCTGCAAGCGAGAATAGGCTTGATCTGCAGAGATGTAGGAAACTCGGTATCCCGGTGTCAGCACGGGAAGCCTTAGGAGGAAGGAGCTGAGAGCCGGGCTCTAGGACCCAGAGATCTCCGTAGGAAGAGCTGGGAGGGGGGGGCTGGCAGCGTCCAGGAGGGTTCTGCCCTCATTGAACAGAAGAGCAGCTTGTGCCAAAAGCGGCGCTGGATGTGGTAACAGATGCGATAACAGTTAAGGGTGGAGAAAATTCAGCTAAGGAAGGAATGACAGCAAGGTGTGAAATTCGTAGTAAAGCTGAAGGAAAATGTGGTGTTCTTACTGCAGTAAGTGATGAATTTGTAACTGGCAAAATGAGTGTAATAGGAGCAATCTGTTGTTTGTTAACCAAGCTTATCACTAGGAAACTGCAGTAACCACAGCTTCCAACCACAGACCTCCTGAAACATCAACAAACATAACCTTTAAATGTATGGACCCCAGGACTTACACAGCTTTAAAGATATTGTGCAAGGATCACAAACGGATGCATTGCGAAAGATCCCAGCCCCCACTTGACAAGACAAAGGACGATTCCAGCAACAGGACCACGCATGCACAAGAGATATCGAGAGCACCACCTACACCGGATGTGGAACTGTGTGCAGACTGTCAGCTGGAAGAGGAAATCGTGCACCGTTGCTGGAGCAGAGACTCCCTGGACACCCAGAGCTGTTTTGTTTACTTGCTTGCTTTAATAAGTGACAATTTCCAAAATACATAATTGGGTTGCTCAGTTTGTTTGACGTAATGTAAAACAATTTGGTGCCGTGACTCAGATCCAGGTAACTCTCATACAGGATCCTCAGCCCGGGGAGGAGCCCCGTTTTTGGATGGCCTGGAGTGGGTGATCTCCGTACAGAGAGCTGTAATTCCGAACCCTAAAAATCAGGAAAGTAAGCAAAAGAAACTGCAGAACCCCGTAATTTTTGTGCACGAAGACCCGGACGACGACTCAAGGCTCTAGAGTAAGTATTGCAGGGTTGCAAGGGAATCCGTTCAGTCGGGGCTGGGAATCCTGGAGTGTGAGTGACTGAGAGGTTTCTGCGAGAGACCAAGCGAGTGTGGAACCTTTAGTGGTGCGGTTCCCACAGCCTGTGAGAGTGTGGGTGACAAGGGGGGCGAGTGTGAGAGTGAAAGGAGAGCACCCCAGACGATGGGACAGAAGAAGAGCAAGCCTTCTGATCCCATGGGTGGTCCTAAGGGGAGACTACCAGATACACCACCAGATAGCCTACCAGGACTTATGATTAAGTACTGGGGGGCTTTCCCTCGAGGAAAGAGCAAAGAGAAAATGGTCCTTTATTGTATGGAGGTTTGGGGAGGAAAACAGATTAGGGCAGGTAGTCTGTTCTGGCTGATATTTGGATCCTTTGAGGGCTGGATATGCCAGGCCTGAAATATTTATGTTAATTCCAAAAAGCCATTTAGCAATGAGGAAAGCAAATATGCTAGCCTATGGATTGTGCCAGGAGCCCAAACTTTTCTATTCAGCCTTAAAGAGACAAAGAGAAAAGATTAAAAAGGAAGAAGAAATCCCCTGGTCCCCTCCTCCTTATGTTCCCCCCGAGTTTCCTGCAGCTCCCCAACTCCCCATAACTCCCAAACCTGCATCTGCACCCCAGGCTCCAGTAGAGGTTCCAGTAGAAGATAAGGGGATAGGATCTGATGATGCAGAGGAGTCAAATTATCCTGACTCACTGGACTCCGAAGGAGAACCAGGAGCCAGACCAAAGGAAGAAGTTCCAGGGAGGAAAGGTTGTTCCCCCTGAGGGAAGTCCCAGTGATGGGACCTGAACAGCAGCTCGGAGTAGGGTATGTCTCTAGTCCTTTGAATTCAGGAGATGTTAGAGAATTTAAAAGGGAAATGGGGAATTTACTAGAAAACCCATTGGGAGTTTCTGAAAGACTGGACCAGTTTTTGGGCACCAAGTCTTTACACCTGGGAAGAGTTACAATCTATATTAGGAATCTTATTTACTGCAGAAGAGAGGGATGTGATCTGGAGGGCAGGAATGAGGATCTGGATCATCAGGCTGGCCCAGGAGCAGATGAGAAGTGGCCTCTCCAAAGGCCCCCCTGGAATAACCAAAATGCAGAGCACCAAGCTAATATGCCAGACCTCTGAACGATTATCATTCAAGGGATCAGGGAGTCAGCTCCTCGGGGCAGAATATTAATAAAGGCCTTTAGTGAGCAGCAAAAGAAGGATGAAACTCCGACTGAATGGCTGGAAAGGCTGCGTAAAAGCCTGCAGCTGTATTCGGGAGTAGACCCTGCTACTCTTGTAGGACAGGCACTACTAAAAACACAGTTTGTGGTGAAATCTTGGACTGACATCAGGAGGAAGTTGGAAAAGTTAGAAGACTGGCAGGATAAGGGAGGAGAGGAATTACTGAGGGAAGCACAGAAGGTATGTGTAAGATGAGAAGAAGAGATCCACAAGAAGCAAGCTAGAATCTTAGTGGCAGCAGTAAGGGAAGGGCAACAATCAAAGCAGGAATTCTCCAGAAGGAGAAAAGACTCTTAATCAAGGGAACAGGGAGATGGAAAACAGAGAGTGACTAGGGATGTGAGGCAAAATGAATGTTTTTACTGCCAGAAAAAAAAAGGACATAAGAAAAAAGATTGCAGAAAGCGAATACAGGATGAAAAGATGTTCCAGGAAGATTATGGGGTCAGGGGCTCTATGTGCTGGGGACCCCTGAAGGAACGGAGCCCTTGATACAATTGAAAGTGGGTCCTCAGCGCCAGGACATGGAGTTCCTTGTGGACTCCAGGACTGTCCAAGAGCTACCCTGGGGATCAGTTTCTTCAGAAGAACTTCAGGTAGGTGAACCATTTAAAGTACCAATAATCAAAGGAGCAGAGATAGAAGCACCCTGTAAGTGTGGTTTAGGTTCCTTTTTGCTAGTGCCTGAAGCAGAGTATAATTTGTTGTGTAGTGATCTGATTATTGAATTAGGAGCTAATTTGGAAGTCAGAAACAAGGAGCTGACTGTACAATTATGCACCCTGACAGTAAAGGGTGAGGAACAGAGAAATCCTGAGGTGTGGTATAGCTCGGATGCAGTGGGGAAATTGGATATTGCCCCTTTTGAAGTTACCATTAAGAACCCAGAGATCCCTGTAAGGATAAAACAGTGCCCTATTTCACAGGAAGGCCGACAGGGACTCCAACCAGAGATTGAGAGATTAATAGCAAGAGGCTCGTTAGAACCCTGAGTGTCACCATTCAACACACCTGTACTACCTGTGAAGAAACCTGATGGGTCATAAGGGCTAGCGCACGACTTGAGGGAAATAAACAAGCAAACCATCACCTGATACCCAGTAGTTGCCAACCCTTATACTCTGTTAAGCCAGTTAACACCAGAACTGAAGTGGTACACAGTCATAGACTTAAAAGATGCATTCTGGGCCTGCCCCCTTAAGGAGGAATGTAGGGATTATTTTGCTTTTGAATGGGAAGATCTCCAAACCCAACAATTAAGGTGGACAGTGTTACCCCAAGGATTCACCTAATCTGTTTGGTCAAGCATAGAACAGGTACTGGGCACTTCTCAACCAGATCCCCAGACAACCTTAGTGCAATATGTAGATGATTTGCTCCTGGCGGGGGCAGACGAGGATGCAGTCCGAAAAGAAAGCATTAAGTTATTAAACTTTTTAGGCCTAAAAGGGCTAAAGGTATTGAAGTCAAAATTGCAGTTTACAGAAGAGGAAGTAAAGTATTTGGGACATTGGTTAGCAAAAGGAAACAAGAAATTAGACCCAGAAAGGGTGAATGGAATCTTATCCCTCCAGGCTCTGAAAAATAAGAGACAAATAAGGCAAATCCTGGGATTACTAGGATATTGTAGACAATGGATTGAGAACTATAGCAGTAAGGTAAAGTTTTTATATGAGAAATTAACCAAAGGTGGACATCTGAAATGGGGCCAAGAGGAAGATCAGGAACTAAAAGATTTAAAAGCGGACTTAGTTAATGCCCCAGTATTAAGCCTGCCAGATGTTAAGAGACCATTTTACCTGTTTGTGAATATAGATGGAGGGACAGATTTGGGGTCCTGACACAGGAATGGGCAGGAAGAAAGAAACCTGTGGGGTACTTTTCTAAGTTACTTGATCCCGTGAGTAGAGGGTGGCCAACTTGTTTACAAGCCATAGTGGTGGTAGCCCTTTTAGTAGAGGAAAAGTAATCTTTGGTGGAGAATTAAAAGTATATACCCCCCACAACATTAGGGGAGTGTTACAACAAAAGCCAGATAAGTGGATAACTGATGCCAGGTTGTTAAAATATGAGGGGATATTAACACATTCCCCCAGGCTGGAAATTGAAACTATGGGCCTACAGAACCCTGCTCAATTTATTTATGGAGGACCGAATGAAAATCTAACCCATGATTGTATACAGTGTATAGAGCATCAATCCAAAATTCGGGAAGACATGGAGGAAGAAGAGTTACAGGAAGGAGAAAAACATTGTGTGGACGGGTCCTCTCGGGTGGTGGATGGAAAGCATAGATCAGGATATGCAATAGTTGATGGGAAAACATTATCAGTAGCCGAATCAGGGGCGTTAGATGAATCCTGTTCTGCTCAGGCTTGTGAATTGTACGCCCTATTGAGGGCACTACTATTACTTAAAGATAAAAAAGAGACCATATGTACTGACTCTAAATATGCCTGTGGGGTAGTCCACACCTTTGGGAAGATATGGGAAGAAAGGGGGCTAATAAATTCACAAGGAAAAGGGCTGGTTCATGAATACCTAATCAAGCAGACACTGCAAGCTTTGAGAAGACTGAAGCAAATTGTGATTGTACATAGAAGAGGTCACCAAAAGGGAATGTCCAATCACATAAGAGGAAACAACCCGGCTGATGAGGAAGCCAAGAAAGCAGCTCTGTTGATAGTTAAAGAGTTAGGGATCGAGGAGTCCAAAGAGCAAAAAACAACACAAAAAAAGTTTTACTGCTAAGGAAAAGGAAAGGTTGTTGCAAATGGGTATTGAAAAAAGAAATGGGTAATGGTTACTTCGTGATGGTTGGGAAGTACTACCAAAAGGACTCGCCTGGAAGAGAATGAGAGAATCCCATAGAAAAACACATTGGGGAATCCAGGCACCAGCGGACCAATTTAGCACAAAATATATGTGCATTGGGTTATACAATATAGCAAAGGCTGTTTTGGGAGGATGCTTGACCTGTAAGAAAGTTAATAAGCAGCATCTAAGAGAAAGAATACCAGGTGGGAGAGAATTAGCCTCAAGACTGTTTGCCAAAATCCAGGTAGATTTTACAGAATTGCCTAAAACTGGGAGATATAAATATTTATTGGTGATAGTAGACCATTTGACGTATTATGTAGAAGCTTACCCAGTAGCCAGAGCCACTGCCCAAACGGTGTTAAAAATATTATTTGAGAACATCATCCCCAGATATGGGAACACTGAGGTAATAGATTCAGACAGAAGATCTCCTTTTATTTCCAGAACAGTGAAGGAGGCCTTAGAACCACTCGGAGTTAAATGGGAATTCCACACTCCATGGCACCCCCAAAGCTCGGGGAAAGTAGAGGGGATGAATGGAGAAATCAAGAAACAGCTTACTAAATTAATGATAGAAACTAAGATGTCTTGGGTTAAATGTTGACCACTGGCTCTGTTAAATTTAAGGACCCAGCCTAGGATGGATACAGCCATTTCTCCTTTTGAAATGTTACATGGGATGCCGTATGACTTTGAATTAGCAGTAGAACATCCAAAGATCGAGGAATACTCCTTACGGGAGTATATAGTGGAGTTAATGAAAAGAAGGAACAAGCTGAGAAAGAGAGGCCTGATTGTACAGAGGCCACCCCTAAATATGGCAATCCATCAGTTGAAACCAGGAGATCGAGTGTTGATTAAGACTTGGAGGGAAGTATTCCTCACCCCTAGATGGGAATGGCCTTTTACTGTTCTGCTTACCACAGAAGCTGCCATCCGGACAGCCGAACGAGGATGGACGCATGTAAGTCGTGTAAAAGGACCCATTCCGGAGGATCAATGGGAAGCATCTGAAAACCCCGGGGGACTGAAACTCAAACTGAGAAGAAAGATCTAATAAGCACAAATGAGACCGTCTGTAACTTGTTAGTACTCACTGACTTCTGTAAGGGGAACTGGTGGATCTGTTATACTTAAGGATATCTGCCCCAAGATATCCGTGACCTGTAACTGAGTGGTCAAGCTCCTACAGAGATTATTTAGAGCCCTATGATGGGACATTTTTGAAAGGGGAATTGGCCTAAAGGAGCGGTTGGTGCGCTTAACGGGGGTAAAACCTTGAGAGCCTGAAAGTGGTTAATTGAGTGTCGAGTAAACTTATAAGGAGCAAAGAGGGACCCCTGAAGAATACGACTGCTGCCGGGAAGATGGAAAACCTCACTGCCCTAAGCAAAAGAGTAGGTGAAGGAGGCAGAGGCGTAAAACAGTGGGGATGTAGGCCAAGAGGCCCCCTCAGGGGTAGAACCCCAGGCTCCCACTCCCAGGGCCAATGCCTCTTACAGCGTGGATATGACACCCAGATCCATTGGGCGCTTAAAACTTTGGAGGAAAGGAGGAATCCATTTAAACACCGTAAGGATCCACCAGTTATCCTATTCTTATATGCTGTTGTATGCATTGTGGGGTGGGTGTTGGTACCAATCCAGGCAGAAAGTAACCCCCACCAGCCCTTTAAATGGTCCCTAATCAGGTGGGAGGATCAGCAAGTGATTCAAATTAAGGAGACTGCAGGTCCACCCAGTTTCACACCTACTTTATGTGAGCTTGTACCAATTAAACCATGCCTGAATCTTTTAGGATTTTATTTCTGCCCGAGCTCTAACCCAGGAAAAGAATATTGCAATAGGCCGGGGCATTATTATTGTGCCTACTGGGGTTGTGAGACCATAGCTCCTGATTGGATAGGAGGGAAGGGTAAAGATCCCTTCCTATCCGTAGGCTGGGGACCCACAGGGTGTACACCTCCTCGTCGAGATTCCAGTGGAGGCACTGTCTCCCCAGGGAACTGTAAGCACATTTACCTCAACATAACCAAACACGAAGATCCAGGATGGACAATAGGAAAAACCTGGGGAATGAGATACTGGGAACCAGGTACCGACCGAGGGGGTGTGATATATATTAAGAGAGAAGAACTTCAGTCATCCCCTGTGGCAGTCGGCCCAAATGTAGCACTAAAAGAGGATCCAAAGCCTGAGGGAGGGAGTGTCAGTATCACCGAGGACAGCAGAGACAACTCCACTGAAAAACCTGTGATAGAAGCCGTGAGTAACAACCCCCTTTTGGAATTTAATGAAAGCTAGTTATCAGGCCCTTAACGACTCCAACCCAAACATGAGGAACCATTGTTGGCTATGGTACGATATTAAACCTCCATTTTATGAAGCAACAGGAACTACCACTCATGATAAGCTCACAAATGAATCGAAGCCCAGTCAGTGGAAGTGGAAGGATGGGAAAAGGGGGCTCACTATACAACACGTAACAGGAAAAGGGCAGTGTATAGGTGAAATACCTGGGTCCAGGGAGAAACTTTATGGGGTAACAGTGTCCCTAGAACCAAAAGTTGAATGGGTAATTCTGGCAAATGGGACCAAATGAATTTGTTCCAGGGCAGGACTTATCCCTTGCCTGTCCTTAAAAGAGTTTAACGAAAGCTGAGAATACTGTGTTCAAGTGACCATTATTCCTAGGATATTATATCACAATGAAGATTTCTTATATAATCATTGGGAAAAAGGGGAACACTATTTACAGGAAAGAGAACCCTTTGCAGCTCTCACTATAGCAACTGTAATGGCTGTAGGAGCTGCAGGAGTGGACACAGGCATCTCTTCTCTGGTACAACAAAATCAAAGGTTCCAATCATTACAAGCTGCTGTAGATGAGGATTTGGTAAGAATCGAAAAGTCTATAACAGTCCTAGAAAAATCTTTAAGATCATTATTGGAAGTAGTGTTACAAAATCGATTAGGACTCAATGTATTATTCTTGCAACTAGGAGGTCTGTGTGCAGCCATAGGAGAGGAATGCTGTTTTTATGCTGACCACACTGGGGTAGTAAGAGATGCCATGACCAAATTAAGGGAAGGACTGGAGAATCAAAAAAGAGAGAGAGTACAACAGCAGAGTTGGTATGAGTCATGGTTCAACCATTCTCCATGGCTTACTACACTATTGTCTACAATAGCTGGTCCTTTGATGTTGTTGATGTTAGTGCTAACCTTTGGACCCTGTATTTTTAATAAAATGATCGCCCTGGTAAAAAGCAGACTTGAAGCAGCACATTTAATGTTGATCAGAAGACAATATGAACAATTAGAGGAGAAGGAGGTCAGTGAGACCCCTATCCTTGAGTTGGCTCGGGAAGCGGTTAATCAATTTGATGAACAAAATGGGAAAAAGAAAAGGGGAGAATTGTAATAGGAGCAATCTGTTGTTTGTTAACCAAGCTTATCACTAGGAAACCGCAGTAACCACAGCTTCCAACCACAGACCTCCTGAAACATCAACAAACATAACCTTTAAATGTATGGACCCCAGGACTTACACAGCTTTAAAGATATTGTGCAAGGATCACAAATGGATGCATTGCGAAAGATCCCAGCCCCCATCTGACAAGACAAAGGATGACTGCCCAGCAACAGGACCACGCATGCACAAGAGATATTGAGAGCACCACCTACACCGGATGTGGAACTGTGTGCAGACTGTCCGCTGCAAGGGGAAAGCGCGCGCCGTTGCTGGAGCAGAGACTCCCTGGACACCCAGAGCTGTTTTGTTTACTTGCTTGCTTTAATAAATGATAATTTCCAAAATACATAATTGGGTTGCTCAATTTGTTTGACGTAATTTAAAACAGCGAGGAGGTTTACTTTGTTAAATGCTTACAATCTAGTATAGGAAAACAGGTAGGCATACACAAATTTCTGTACATGCCAAATTCATCCAAACCTTGACTAGGGCATGATTTACTAAAACAACAGTGCCACAGCCCAAAGACAAAGGTCTGCGCTCTCCTCAGCTGCAGAGGGCAGCAGTAACCTTCCCACTGAAATGCGGCAGCTCTCCCAGTAAAGAAATGCTCATGGCTGGACTGTGCATGCCCTACAAGGCTCAAACAGGCTCAGAAGATCTAGAGAGGATCCTAGAGAGGATCTTAAGTAAAATTGCACCCAAGTTTGAACTAGGAGAGCATGAACGTTTCTGCCTCCAAGGAAATAGACACAACTTGCACAATGCTTACACATTTTCTCACTCCTCTTGTCTGGCTACCTTGTGACAATAAGCCCTGTTTAGTGTTTATTTCTTATATTTGTGTTATTTGTTGAGTAATAACTTCCAGCATGTGCACCAAAGCAGAGAGCATTTACTGAGTGAGGTGGTCAGAAGGGCAGCAGCTCCTGGCTGGCCATGTGCAGGGGCTTCTCAGCCATGTTTGCCAGTGAGGTGTGGGTACAGCTGGTAGAACAGCTCCTGGGGGTAATTTTTGGTCACAGAGCCCTGCAGTGCCCGGAACAAAGCCAGCAGCACGTTCCTATAGAGACCCATGTCAGGTGGGGCTGGGGCTGCAGCATCTCTGCTTCTTCCCAGTCTTAGCAAACAGAAAGTCAGTCCAACAGCTCTGCTTAGAGGAGAACCCAAATTTATTTCAGGCATGTGGTCCTGGAATCTGGAAAACCCCGATGTCTCCAGGTGCAGGCAGTACTGCCAAGCATCGACATCAGATGGTTTATACACCTGACCTGCTTAACAGGAAAGGAACGGTGCCATTGCGTGGCTAAACTGAGCCCATCAGGCAGCTGTAAGGTAGTTGAGTCCTCAGAGCCCAAAGTGAGTGGAAGTTTGCTACAACACTCCATGCATGGTTAAGGTAACTTAGTTTCAGCAAGTTTTGCATTAGTAATAATGGAAAAAGAAAACCCACCCAAACAAGTATGATAGGTGCTGCAAAAGAAAATCCTCATCTTTTGGATGGAAAGTCAATGACTGTGTGCAATTTCCCCTGTGAAGCCACAGGGCCTTCTTCCACTCCAATGTCTCTGCTGTCTGACACAACGGGAGAGCTGCTGTGGCCTCGTGTCCGTGCCTGTGCTCCTCCAGGATGAGCAGCTCTGTGGGAGGAGAAGAAACCCACAGGGATTTGGGCCACAATTAAGAACTGCATCCTGTAAAGGAAAACCACAGATAAGAGGGAGGATCAGCAAGCAGCAGCACGGTCATCACAGCTCTGGGGGAGGTGTTGTATTTTTCTAAGGCTTGGTTATCCTAGCCACTGGAGGATGATGTCAAAATAACCATTTTGTCACAGGTATCTTTATGGCAAAGGACAGACATAAGTGAGAGCAGCGTAAAAGCCAGCTGGGACTCAGACCAGCAGCACAGCCTTCTTACCAGGCTTCCTTCCCAGCAAAGTAATGTGATGGTGCGCTCCCTCCTCTCCCTTTCTTTCTTCCTTCCTTCCTCCCTCAGTCTGGCACAAGAAGACAGTGAGCAACACTCCTGGCTAAATTAAAATAATGATCACAAAACTGTCTCAGACCGGGAGGCTGAAAGAACTCACAGCAGGCCTTTGGCTCAACAGCTGAGGGCCAGTTGAGCACATGCCTAAAAACAAAGTGCAGCAATGAGTCAATTATCTTACCACCAAACAGAGAGCAGCACAAGCACCTCTTAAGCTCTTCTGCACAGCAGCAGGCTGCAGGACGAGCTCTCTCCTTGTTTGGAAATAGCCAAATAATTTATCAGGACAGTATCTCTGATAAAGCAGATTTGATTTGCAATTGCAATGCCGGGCCTCCTGCTGACGTGAGGAATCAAACTCTATAACCACAATGCAGTTATAAAAGCAGCTATGTTTTAATCAGTGCTGCACAGACACCGGGTGCAAGGGGGATCGTTCCTCCTAACTTGCACAACGGAGGGCAAAAGATAAAGGCTGAACTAATACATAATCAATGATTTTCCTGGAATTCATACACATATTCACTACAATTCCAAGAACCCATCAGCATATGGTCTGTCCCTCTTGCACGTGCGCTGTGGGCAGTGGGGGTCTCCTTCTGGTGGTCATGGGATGAAGGCTCTCTGTCTTCAACAGAAGTAATCCGATCCTGACCCGTTCCTTGTGTAATGTTTCTTCCAGTTTACAATAGAGTTTCGAGATGTTCTTTTCTTATCTGGCCTCACATCCTGCTTTCCTGCATTGCTATACAATGGTTAACCCTTATCTTGTCCTCTCTTAACTCATGCAAGCAGGAGAGCACACAGAAAACAGCATTACATCTTTTATGCCCTATAACTCGACACTTATCTCTTTCTCCCCTGATCCTCATTGGCTGAGTACTTCAGGTTCACAATCTTCCCAACGCTCAACTAAACATACGGATAATGGCTAAACATCAATTGTTGCTAGCTAAGCATATATCGCTAATTAGTTAACTTCTCACACTTGCTCACTCAACACTTGGTTCTTGTTTCTGGACATCTGCTTGTCCTTGCATAGAGAGAAGCTTGGAAAGAGGACAGGAGGGAGTATCTCGATCCCTGCCTGTTGCATCCCAACCTACCCACAGAGCAAGACAAGCCAGCCTTGTTTAGAGGCCATGGCTTCTTTGATGTTTCTTAAATCTATTTTTCTTTTGCTGAGGGTCTCTTATCCAAACAGAATAGCCCTTCAATATGCTTTCTAGTCCATAATACTATACCTACACTATTTGGAACATTTAAGAGCTACTGCAGTTTGGCAAGCAAGAATTAATCACACAATTCAGCAACTGTATTTCTAGAGTATGTTACTAACACACATGGTATTTCTACTTTTTCACATCAGCTATTTCTAAGGACAAGTTACAAAATACAAGTACGTTGTGCTCTGCTTCTTCAGATCAATTCCCCCTTTTTAATATCCAATGCAGGAACAACATTCCATTCCTACAGCCTTGAGCAGGGATGCCTCTTGATGTTACACCTGCACAGAGATCCTTTCCACCTCGATGTCAAGACACCTTGATGGTACAGATCCTCAGTAAGCGACTAATAGTTTGGTTTGAGCTTTGTCAGCTTCATTAAAGTTATATCTATCTATCTATCTATATAGGATCCCTTGGACACAAACTGTCTGGGACTAGGAGTGGATCCAGCTGTGCTGAGGAACCTTACCTCTGTGGTTTGAAGAGTGTACACAGCAATGGGGTTGGCTCTGATCCTCATGACACAGCAGGAGAGCGTCCTGTAGGTGTGTGTGTAACCCTATCCTCCATGTAGAAAACAACCCAAAGAGAAGAACCCCAATTAGAAGAATTTAGAACGCTAGAAGCTCCGTCCAGCCGCGGTGCAAACACGCCGCTTCCGCCCGGCAGCGTTCCCACACTCAACATGGCTCCTCGACGGCTTCACCCGCTCCTCAGCGCCCCCCTGCAGCGCGCCTCCCCGCCGCTCTGAACATGCCGTGCCCTTTCTCAAAATGGCGGCCGCCAGCTTCACCCCGCGGCCGCCCTGCCCGGGTGACGGCCGGGTCGCGTGGTCACGTGGCGGACGGCGGGGGCGGAGCGGTGCCGGGCAGCGCGCTGGCTTTGTTCGCTCCTCCTGGCCGTGCCATGCGGTCGGCTCCTGTGGGGTCCGGGGCCTCCCGGGGTCGGTGCCGCTTATGTACGGGACGGTGCCGGAGGGCCGGGATCGGCGGCAGCGGGGTGAGCGGGGCCGGTGGGCGCGGGCGGAGGCAGGAGGGGGAGCTGCAGGAGCTGCAGGATGGGGAGAGCGAGCGTCCTCCGAGCGGCGTTCTGTTCCGCAGTTCTTGCCCTCAGTCTGATTTCTCTCTCCTTTCCCTGGCCGAATTTCGGCGCCCCGTTACGGGGCCCCCCGGGGGGGGGGGGGGGGGTTGGAGCTGACGGGCAGCCAGTAACTAGGAATAGAAAATGCCCAATAACTAATCACATTCTGCGGCAAAACAAAAAGAAAGCATAGTCCCTTTTTAAAAAAGCAAGTGGCAGAGTGCTTCCCCCCAAAAAAGGGAAAAATCGCCAGATGTTTATGCTGAGCTAACACGCTGAGAATGAAGAGTGGCAGCTTTGCTTCTTCCCTTCACTACTTGTTTTGGTTTGAAGTGCAGAGCAAAGGATGTGTGAGCCATGCTGGAGCAGTGTGCCTGCTGCATGGTATTGCAGTGAGCAATGCAGAGAATTTTATAACGTGTTTATAATGTCTGTCTCCTTCTTAGATGGCACTGAGTTCTCTGAGATGCTCTATGGAAATGATGAGAATGACTTCTGAAGCTGTGAGCAGTGGCTGATGAGAAGCTAAAGAGAGGGACCTCAACATTGAACTGACTGGTAAATCCAAGCCTTAGGGTTTATGTGCTCTTTGTTCTAACAAACACGTCTGACCCTTAATTACTTTAAGGGACCGGTGTTGTTATGTCTCGCTAGACAAGGCAGGGAAGCTCTAGGACTTGGTATGCTTGCACTGATGCTTCTCTCAGACTGCTTTTGCTTTTCTGTGGCAGCATAACGTCCTAGGCATAATCTGCTCATGAACCCCTGGAGGGCTGATGAAAAAGTTCAGTAATTATGGTGAAATATTTATGTATGTGTATGTGCTCCTACTTTGTGTATCAACAGATACTGACCTCTGTTTACTTTTTGCTTTATAGATATGGAATGATGGGGCATTTCATAGCAAATGGATGAAGGTATGTCTGTTTTCCTTCTTAAAAGTGAAATGTGCTTCTGAAGTTCCCTTGTTATCACTTGTGCTTTGCTTGTCTGATTTTTCTCTAGAGAAGAGACCTTCATCCTGTGACTACTTCCCTTCCTGACCTCTCATGGTAGCTGCAGGCATGAAGCACTAACAGGAACGCAGGATCCTTAGTTTTGTTTTTTTTTCCTGAAGCTTTTATTTTTAGCTTCGTAAGTCGGTGTGTGCTAAGGAGGGCACTTTAAAGGAAGCTGCAGTTGAAGCGTACGAATTCATGTTCTTACTGGCTGGAAAACAGCTTATTTTGTAAGTCAGAGATCCAGAATTCCTTCAGATTCTCAAGTGAAGTTCCAGTGGATTTGATGCCCTTTAATTATTGATGTACAGCTCCAGGCTTTCATTACATGGTCTCATTTACCTTTTTCATAAAGTAAGAGCTCTGTATTTTAACTGTGCAAAAGTCAATACCTCATTTAGAACATGAGTTGGAAAGAGACAGTATTTCACATTGGGTAACACTGTGCTGTCACTGTTTCCTTCACTGCACAGCCCTCTTTGAAAGCTCATTTCTCTTTGAGTTATGTTATGCTGAAGTGGAATCTTAATATAAGTTCTACTATATTCATTATTCATGTCCTTGTTGCTGCTTTGAGGCTAAGAAGGAAATGCATTTCTTCTCAAAAGAAGGTAGGGTTGAGTGTGAAGAAAACTGCTGATTGTTTTTTTCCTCTCCATGCACAACTTTGCAGAAATTGGGTCCCTTCTGCTTAAAATCACTCAGTCAGCAGCTATTAGAAAAGTTCTTTTTGTTTTTGTATGCTGTACAAGGTCAGTTGTGTTATTTGTCCGTGGCAGCATCTGCAGCTGTTTCATTCAGTGATTGGTTTTAGCAGAATAATACAGAAAATGGTGCACAACAGTTAAATGTGATGTGATGTTAGGAGGGAAAAACCCTTGGTAACTTCAGTGTCCTTCACAGGGTTAGCATAGATAACATTCTGCCTGCTCCTGAAAAGTGGGACTGCTCTCCTCTGAAACACTTCATCCTCGTTTATATGTAAGGATGTGTGATACACTTGTAGTCTGTTAAACTGGTCTATGGTCAGAGTTTATAGCAGGACAGGTAAGCAGGAATTTTATAAAGAAACTTCCTTAGGCATTGAGCTAATAAACTTTGATCACCTGCAAGAGGCTTTCTGAGAAATAGCAATTATAATGCTGGTGTTGCATAACTAATTTTTCTATGGTTGTTTTATTCCTGATTTGCCTACAATAGGCAGGACTTGCACCTCAGCAAGTTTATAGTGTGTTAGGAAACATGCATTTCATATTTTAATTACATAGACACGTTTTACATCCGGACTTGCATTACTCACTTCCACCACACTGTTTTCAGAGAAACTGGTGAGATCCAGAAGCTCACTGGGGCTTTGACTACTATTTCATCTCAGCACACGCAGCGTAGTTTACTCAGCCAGGCTGGTCGTACTTGTGAGTGGATGGATGCTTAAAGGAGGTGGAAGCTCTGCAGGTCTCACAGATGGCCCAAGAAACCTTACTGTCATAGTCAAAGCTATGTAATGTACATCAACAAAAATAGAATAAACAAAGGAAATGTGCTGTTACAAAGAGCCAGCTTTGGTTTATGCCACCTCTGTGAATATCCTGTGCGGTGCTTTTGTAGCTGTGTTACCAGAACCACCAGAAGTTTGTTTTTCTACCTAAACTCTTAAATGAACTTTGGCTGCCGCTGCCGCGCCGCCCCGCCCCTTCTTCCGGGAGAGTCCCGTCCCTCCCTTCGCCTCTGCGGAGCCAATTGGCTGCCCTGGCTGTCACTTAAAGCTTGGGCGGAGGGGCGATTGGTCGAACGGGGTCACGCGGGGTGCCCGCTCCGAGCGAGGGCGAGTCCGGGTAGCGGGCGCGCGGAGGCGTGACGTCACCTGACGCGACGCGCAGCGGCCATGGCGAGCGTCACGTGACTCGGGGAATCGGCGGTATGGGGCCGAGGAAACGCGGGTCCTCGCGGGGCTGGGCGGTGGGTCTGGCGGGTTATTGGGGCGCGGGGGGCCACGTAGGGCTGGGAAGGCGTCATCCCGGAGCTGCGGGTGCCGGGACGCGTTCTGGGGGCCCCGTGGGGCTGGCAACGGGGTGGGGAAGCGGGGGTCTCGCGAGGCCCGGGGGGGGGCGCGGGCCCGTTATGCGGGGTATTGCCCTGGGACTCGGGAGAAGGGGCGGCGGTTTCCGTGCCTGATGGGACCGTTCTTCCCTCTCCTCCCTTTTGTTCCCCTCTCGCAGACCGTGGCTGCCCCTATTTCCCCCACGCTGGTGCCGGGCGAGGCCTCGGAGAGCGACTCAGAGCCGGAGCCGGGGGGGAGCGCGGCCGGGACCCTCGCAGCGGGGCTGAAGGTTCCGGGGGAGGCGTCGGAGACCGAGGAGGAGGAGGACGAGGACAGTGCGGCCCGAGTGCCGCTGCCAGGGGTGTCCCGGGAGAGCCCCTCACTGCTGCAGCAGCGCCTGGGGGCGGGCGAGGGGCGGCTGCGGGGCGCGATGGCTGAGGCGCTGGGACGCAGTTTCAATGGGGCTGCGCGGCTGCTGGAAGGCCTGGGAGGGCCCCTGGGCCGAGCCCGAGCTGGAGCAGCTGCCACTGCTCACTGCCTGTGCCTGGTGCGCCGTGACCTGCGCGCCGTGGCTGCCGCCGTGGCCACCGTCACCGCCTGCCAGCTGCTGCCCGACATCCGCGTGGAGCCGTGAGAGTGGGAACGCCAGCGGGGCGGTGCTGGCAGCCGCGGGGAGCTCCTGGCGTCGTTGTTGCAGCGTCGCTGTCGCTGACCTCCAGCTCCTCCCGACGGACTTGGGGGTTGTGGTTGTCGCTGATGGCGTTCTCGCTGTCGCTGCGTTTCCAGTGCTGTGTCCCCTTGAGCTGATGCTGCCATCGGCAGTGCTGCCACTGATCGCTCAGTGTCAGGGGAGAGGTTTTGTGAAGGGCACAGTGGTATGGGATTCCTTTCATAAAGATTCTGGACCTTGGTTCCCTGTCCGTATCCAAATTAGAATGATAAACAGTATTAAAGATTCATCTTTTGAGGAAGAACCTCTGAGCACTTGTAACTGGCAGTGCTTTGATAACCTGTTCCATAAGGAGTGCTGGGTGATGCTGACTGATAGCATCAATTGTGAGCATCCTCTATAGAAAGTTTCCCTCTGTGGGAGTGAGGAAACAAAACGTGCTGGGGTTATTATGGGGTTACTAGAGTCTAGGATTCTAGAGTCTGAGGATTGTATGAGGATGCTACGAGGATGCTAGCTCCTGTGAGTGCAAGTTCTGTTATTTCAGATCCTGTGATTGTTTCCCAATTCCAGATTCTTTGATTCTGTGATGATTCTGGGCTTCAAATGTGTGGTGATTCTGATTCCTCACTAAGAGTATGGGCTCCCAGATTTGTAGCTTCGCAATATGATACATTTCCATATCCACCCCTGTGCATAGCGTGTGGCATAGTTCTGAGTGCCTGACACAAACCAAGCAAAATCAATTTCTGTAGGTTATTAAAAAATAATAATAATAAAAATAAAATCTTTGCTGTTGTTTCTTCTCCCTGTTCCATTTATTTACGTTCTGCCTTACTTCATATGCAACAGATAATACCTTTTTCCCCTTTCATCCCTTGATGGCTCCTGTTGGTCCCTTGTTTCTCAATCATAATGAGCTCTCAGTGCCATTCATGTGAGAATTTGGGAGTGGCTTTCACTCCATGAATCTTGTAATAGAGTCCCTAGTTGCTATCATGCAGACTTCACCAATTTATAACAGATACAGCTACAATATACACTCCTAAGGGGGAAGCAGGAACGCATTTATTGATGAGCATAGATATGCTGTAGCAGATATAACAGTGACTTCACAAGACTGGAGATGGCTGGATGCCCTTGGTTATTTTCCACAGAGAGGACAGGGTTACACACACACCTACAGGACGCTCTCCTGCTGTGTCATGAGGATCAGAGCCAACCCCATGGCTGTGTGCACTCTTCAAACCACAGAGGTAAGGTTCCTCAGCACAGCTGGATCCACTCCTAGTCCCAGACGCGTTCAGGAGTTTGTGTCTCAGGGATCCTATGTGCACAAAGATCTAACATATAACCTGTACAATGGACTGACTGCATGGGAGGAGGCAGTTTATCATCATGCAGATGTTCAGCCACTGTTCTGTGGCAAATGGTTGGACTGTGCAGCCATCCCTGAGGCAATCTACAGAAAGTATCTTGTCACCCCTGCCACATTCCTCTGCAATTTGGATAGTGGGAAATGCATTAGCTCAATCAATCACAGCATACCCGCTTCTGGAATGTTTCTGAACTTCTCTTCAAGCAGTGGTTCCCTACTACAGCCGCTGTAGAGGCGGGCTGTGCTTATTTAATTCCCTCCACAACCCATCACTTTTTGACAGGCCGTATTGGGTTGTTCCAAGCTGTAGTAGTTGACTTAAAACTCCTGCATCCAATAAATCATTAATTGTATTTGATATCTCTTCATGCCCCCCACCCAGGGTCCCATACTGTTTCACTGTCACTACTTCAGTTGCAGCAGGAATCTGCACAGCAGGCATTGTTACTTTTCCCACTGAAATTGTCGGAGCACGAACGCAATTCTTTATCCCAAATTGGGGCTGACTGCTGGTAAGATTCAAGGTGAGTCCTTTTGGAATACCTGTCCCTGTGATGTACTCTGGGACAGGGACAATCGTGACAGGATACAATCATTTCAGGAGGTTTCCTATTTTCATTTCTGTTTGTGTTTTCACAGCTTGCATTTGTTTCCCTCCCAGCCCTATTACTGGCTGTCCTGCAGATTTCTCGGGGTTCCCATATACTAAGGAACCTCTGCTCCGGGGTCGTCTGAGGCTATGCAGTTTGTGAGGACCAGTTTTTCCAAAATATCTCCTTCCAAGGATACAAATTGGAATATGGTTCCCAATCCTCCCCCACAGCAGCCGACCCGCTCGCATCGGGTGCTCTGCAAATAGCTAAGAGGTCCCACTGAGTGCAGTAGGTGGAATTGTTCCCGGGTGTTTAGCTTTAGAATTTGGCACCTTCTTGCTAGGGTTTATTTAACCCTCTGTGTTTGTGTATCCTCTGTAATTCAGGAAGTGGAAAACCATCAGTCTTATCATGAGAAATCCTGTCTCTTAAGAAAGCTGTAAACAATTCTTTTCAAGGAATCCTATTTTCGCTGCCTTTCTGCTCTTCCCTCTTGTCCATTCTCCCCTGCCATCTCCTTCCTTCCCCTCCCCCATTGGCTCTGCTCCTCTTACCTGTGTCCTTTCTTCAGTTCTGCCCTCTTTGTCCTCCCCTCTCATTCATCACACTTCTGTTCTTCTGCCTTACAATTTCCTTTCAGCTTTGTGGTGGGCTGCCAGGAGATTCTGTCAGAGGCCTGGAGCAGGGACAGCACAGGGACAGGGGAGGGGACAGGAGAGGGACAGGCAGAGACAGGAGCAGGACAGGGAAAAGTCTAGGGTAGACAAGGGATAGGGACAGGGACAGGAGATGGGCAGGAAAGCAGAGGGGCAGGGGCAGTGACAGGATAAGGAAAAGGATGAGGATGGGTATGGAGGTGGTAGTAGGGTAGGGATAGGGACAGGACCAGAAGATGGGCAAGGAGATGTGGAGGATCAGGGACAGGACAGGGACAGGGATGGGCTGAACAGGGAATGAGGGCACAGCAGGGCCTGGTCAGGACTATGTCAGAGGCAGGAAGGGACTTGAAAGGGGCAGGACTGGAGACAGGCACTGCTGGGACTGCTGCCACTTTGTGGTGGTGAGGATGAAGGGATGCCTGCTGTACTTCCTGGGTGGTGAGAAGTAGAAGATCATGGGGATTTCTTGCTTTTTATTTATTTTCTCCAAGCAGCTTATTAATTGCTATGAGCAGTGACTTTGGTTAATGCTCTGATTGGGTAACGGCAGCTCCATTAGAAGATTGCAGGTTTGCAGGGGAATTTTCCACCAAGGAGGGATCTCCAGACAGAGATCCTTCTCCTGTGGCAGTCAGCCCTGAAATGGGGCCTAAGGGAGGTGCAGCCAGGCTCCAGCCCTTCCTGTTGCACAGCTGAATTGCCTTCACCTGTGCTCCCAATGCTGACCTGGTCCTTTCCACAGGTGCTCAACCAGTGGTTCAGGCTCAACAGTTCCCATGCAGAGTCCTTCACAGGTCGCAGTGCAGGAATCTGCTTGGATGTGGTTCTTTAGGGGCTGCCAGGGGCAACCATGGTCTTCTGTACAGCTTGCAGAAGCAGCTCTGCTCTGACACCTGGAGCGCCTTCTTCCTCTACTTCTTCACTGACCTTGGTGGCTGCAGCGTTCTTTCTTTCACGTTATTCCTCCTCCTATCTCTCACAGCTGCTGCACTGCTTCAGAAATAACTTTGATTTACAACTCCTGACTTGGCAAGGCCAAACAGTGGCCTCAACAGGAAAACGAGTGCTATATTTTCAGTTCTGAAATAACCAGCTTAGGGATGTTTAAAACTGGCTGCAGGAGCTGACAGCACCGAGGGTGCTCCATGTTAATGCCTGGATATTGTAAGCTGGAGCTAGCAATGCAAGTGCTGAGATACAGGAAGGGCCATTTAAAGAAAAATCTCCTGAATTCTGCCTTCCTTGCTAAGTCCCACAGCTAAACATCAGCAAAACAACATCTTGAAACTGAACATTTTTTGTTCATTAACGTTTTACTTTTTCTTTCTATCCTGAAATATATTAGTAGTGGACATGGCAAAAAAGTTACCCAATACATTCCACCTGGGCATAAACGCTCACTTGTGTGGTAAAGCAGTGCCTAGAAACCTGCAACGACTGCTCCTTATCCACGTTCACTGGATTTTCTTCCTGGTAAATGGATGAGTATTTTTACCTATAATGGCACCAAGTGTTGAACACTCATCTTTAATTTAGCATCAGAGATGGTTTTTCTGCTTCTGTAAATGACCACTCACTCAAAAAATAACAGCTGTTTCTCAAGCACAACTGCCTAACTCCATGGGCTCAATGCTGAACACTTCTGACACCTTGGGACCTTCTTTCCTGAGGCCAACCCAATTTAATTCACAAAAAACGTACGTGAGGAGAAAAACAAAACAGTTTTGGTAAAACAGAGGCTTTTAGCAACTTCCTTTCGGCAGTCAAGAAGTAGCAAGGAAAACACCAATCCCCATTTTTTAATTGATGCTGATACCAACATGCCTCAAGTATGTACAATCCCAAACAAAATCCTCTGGGGAAGTTCAGTGGGTTCCCTGAGCACTGCTGCCTTTGTGAGCCCTGACTGCCTTCCAGCTCTCAGTGCCCTTTGTGCATTTCCCACCTCTCTGCCTCCTGATGCCATGCGAGGTGCTGCTGTCCCTCACAGCACGGCCTCTGCTCCCTTCTCTCACTGCTCTGTGTCCCATCAGGCAGTGACCGTCCTTGTCCCACCCTTTCCTGCACACAAGCGGTGAGTTTTTTCCACTTCCTATGATGCAAATTAATAGAATCACCGATTTGGATTGGAAGGGACATTGAAGAACAGCTCCAAGCCTCATACAATGGGTGAGACACCTTCCACTAGTTCACGTTACTGAAGTGACCAATAAGAAGTCTATAGTTGTTTGATTTTGTGATCTAAGAATGCAGACCCTGGGCAGGAAGTGTTCTGGTGCACTGTGTTCCATGAAATACAGAATATTATGCTGTTATAATTCTGCAGGGCTGAACTTGGTGGCCTGTTGTTCTGCTCGGCCAGAGAATGCCAGGGCAGTTGCAGCTCCCATGGGCAGCTGCTCATTGATCTGCAGACACCTCAGATTGCTGACAAAAGACTTCTGCCTGCTCTCCTTGATCAAGCAGTTGGTAAGCAGCCTGATCAAGACCATGCAACAGTTAATGATGTTATCTCCTATAACAGCTCAAGTGACCAAAATGAGAGAATCTTTTCCATGGTGTACTGCATGTGAGTCATAGGCTCTTTCACATCTGGACACCTAAGGATACAGTTTGCAAAGGAATCCCTCGTTTTATCTCCATCTATCACTAGCTGTATCCAATAAAGTCTGTAAGAAGACACAAAAGCCAGGACAAGCTTGCTGATAACAGCTGAGGACACGCAGGAATGTCCATGACACAACAGCCACTGCAGTCAAGGAAGATCTAGAAAACAGGCGATGAAGCAGAAGAGAAAGAAATAAGCTTAGTCATGCTCCTGTGGCACCACTCCATTTGTTCGGGTAAATCCCTTTATAGGCTGCCCTCATTATGCACAGCAGGGACAGCTTCAGTTGTCCCAGATGTGGGTATCTACTGACAGTGCAGGTGTTGTTGGACAAAGGTACGTCCTTCCACGCTCTGGGAGTAACAGCCTACATTTCACCAGATATTTGCATCTGAACAGCTCCTTCTTATCCTTAATCTCCACATGTGAGCATTAGTGGCTCACTAATTAGCAGTAGTGAGGTACCTCACAGGGAGGCGTCTATGTTGTGGTCATCTGATCTGAGGCAAGAGGAACTGAGGAGGGTATTGGGAGGGGGGGAGAGGATGAGAATGGGGGAATAAGGAGGGGAGGGATGAGGTGAGGGTGGGGAAGGGACCCTGGGGGTAAAAATGGAGAACTGGGGGGGGGGGCCAAAAAGGATGGGGGGACCCGGGTTTGGGGGCCCCCCCACCGGCCCGTGGTGGGGCGGACCGGGGGCCGAGTGTGACCCTGAGGGTCAGAAAGAGGGACTGGCCGAACCGTGGACGGGAACGAGGCAGCGATGTACCCTGGATTGGGGGGGGTGGGGGACACAGCGCACCTCCCCACACCGAGCACAGGCCCTGAGCACCACAGAGGCCCCACGGAGCCAACTCAGAGCGGCCCCCGCCCCGGTGCCCCCCCGAACACCCACTTGTACAAGCTGAAGCGGCGCTCAGAGCCCGGGGCTGCCCTGCGGCGCTGGAGCAGCGCGCGGCCTCGCACCACTTCCACTCGGCCGCCTCAGTCTCGCGGCGAGGAGTGATGACGTCACAGCGCTGCGCCGCACCACTTCTGCACGGCCGCTTCCGTCTCTCGGCGCAGGGTGATGACGCCACACGGCCCCGCGCATCTCGCCCCAGTCGACCCCGCAGCTCCTCCCTCGCCCGGTCCCAATGCGCCGCTCCAGCAACCGCCCTCAGCGCGGGCAGAAAGTAACCGACCTTTTATTCTCATTATTGCTACTAAAAATCTCTGCTGTCTTTTACGAATTGCCGTGAATTTCCACTCGGCACACGCAGGTGCGTTCTGCGTTTCCTCAGTTGCTCCGCGCCTCCAATCTGACACGGCCGAAGGCTTTGCGGGGCTCCTCCCGCTGATACAGAGCGGGAAGCGCCGCGGCACATCCGCACGGCTCCCTTTGCCAGCGGCAGAACCCTGACTTGCTCTGCTCCGCTCCCTGGGCTGCCGTGGGACGCCAGAACGGCGCTGCTGATGGGGGAAGCAGCTGCACTCCTCCCTCCCGCCAGCAGTCGTTCCTCCACACCCGCAGGAGGACGGTTTCCCTCCCAGCAGCCTGCCGCACCACTGGCCATACCTGCACGTGGAAGGTGTGGGCGATCTCTCCGTCTACATCGTAAACAAACAACCCCAGGAGAGTTTCACCTTCGTCCTCATCCGCTCCCTCAAAGACAAGAGATGATGGCGGTCACACTTAGGCAGGCCGTGCAAAAAAGAACATACCGAGGCCGAAGGTGGGAGCCCCTCCCCCCCCACATCAGCTCTGGCAGGATTGGAGCACAAAGGAGGGTGAGCCTGAGTCAGGGCACCTGGAGCAATTGCTCCCAGCTGCTCGGCCATGAAGAGCAGCAGAGGGGTCTTATGGGGCTCTGTGGCAAAGCTTTTCCTCGGGGCTTTCCTCCAGAAGAAGCAGTGGGCAGAGACTTACTGAGACAGAAAAGTCTTTGGGGGCACTGCTGACTTCCCCAGAGGGAGAAACTGCCTTGGAGATGTGCCAGACAGTGAAAGCCATGGGCTGGAGATGCTGATTCTGAAGGTGCTTGTGCTGGAGCTTGAATTTCAGCCCGCAGATAGCCAGCTGTGATGGTTGGTGATGCTCACAGCACAGGGTGTGAGGGCCTTGCATAGGAGCTGAGGAGGCATGAGAGGGTCGGCACCCTTCAGTTCCTGGGAGGTCCCAAATGTCCTTGGGCAAAGGAGGGGGTGACAGTGGATGTGGGGGGCTGGGACAGCAGACTTTGCCTGAGCTCAGGATTGGAGTAGCTCAGTTCCCAATGAGAGCACATCACATCCATTCCTACTGTCCTGCTTTCTTTCTAAAGGAACTGACCAAGAAACTGAGCAGGATGCACTGCAGGAAGGCAGCTAGTCCCACAGTGTCCCACACTGCCAGTCTCGGACAGTGGAATGCAGGCATGGTCAACAACTGGCATGCCAGGTAATTTCTGTGCCGCGCTCATCCAGCGTCACTCACCAGAGTCACTGTGTGCCTGCAGGCTCTTGCTGCCTGCCCTTGCACACCAGTCAGCAGCCAAACCTGAGCGTGTGGGCACAGAGCACGTGTAAAAGAAGCCAGAGATGGCTCTCTGATAATGGCTGAACTCAGTGGGGTGTGGAGAGTTGTTCCAGCGCCGTGCAGAGAAGGTACTTGCAGACCTCTGTGATGCTGCTCAGCTCCCACCACTTGCAGTTCCCACAGAGTTGTGAGCTTTGCCCTTATGCAACAAAGCCGCGTGGGGGTGATGAACGGGGTCCTGTGTGGTAGGAGCCTGCAGGAGTGTTTCTCCCCTGGTCTGGCTCTGGCTGTGCCCTGCACTGGCTGGTTTCTCTCCCTGGTTGTAGGGAGAGCTGACAGATGGCACAAGAGGAGTGGTCCCTTCCAGTTTGGTTGCAGAGGTTTCAGATGATGAACTGGATACGCCTCAAGATCCTGTGGGAATTCCTGCATTACTCCATCTGCAAGATTACCCCCTGCTCCCCTTGATGTTCAAGTGGAGTGTGTGCAGGATGTGGATGAGCTCCTACAAAACAAAACAAAAACAACCAATTAAACACCCACAATAAAACAATCAATCAAACAAAATCCCTAGGCTGTTCTTTTTCTTGGATAAAGGGCTGTTTACAAGGGTGGATAGAGATAGGACATGGGGGAGCGGTTTTAAACTGAGACAGGGGAGGATTAAGCTAGATATTAGGAGCAGTTATTTCACGCAGAGTTGGTGAAGCACTGGAACAGGCTGCCCAAGGAGGTTGTGGATGCCCAGTCTCCAGAAGCATTGAAGGCCAGGCTGGATGTGGCTCTGGGCAGCCTGGACTAGTGGTAGCCTGGTTGGTGACCGTACACATAGCAGGGGGGTTGATACTAGATGATCACTGTGGTCCTTTTCAGCCCAGGTCTTTTATATGATTCTATGATTATATGATGGTATCAGACGTCAGGGAAGTAATGTGAAAGAAACAAGCCTTTGAAAATGAGCTTGGTTTGCTCTGCCCCTCATACACCTGATAATTGCATCCCATGCTTGGCAAACGACCTTTCTGTGGGGTGTAGACCAGGAAAGCAGAGGAGGAGAATAAAGCAGCTGTTTTTTCCTAGAGCTTTCATTTCACTGGGTCTGGCCCTATTTTCTGAAACTAAGAGACAGCGTGTGGAAGAAGAGCAGGGAAAGGTTTTGTTTTTGGTGTTCATTCCAGCCTGCTGCTTGCTGCTGGGAAAGGTGTGCTTGGCTTCAAGGGAGGATACATGGTGGAAAGCCAGCAGCTGGGAGGTCTGGGGTGCCCAGGATGCCCAGTGACAAAGGGCAACAGCCCAAGCAAGAGCTGGGATGATTTGTTTTTAAATTGCATCCAGTTAAGTCCTGTCCCATTGCATCTATCATATGTCTCCCCATTCCCTTTAGGGTCCCCTGAAAAGCTGTTCTCTGTTTTGCAGTTTTGTCTGATTTTCTCATCTCCTCAGGGCCTTGCAGCATTGAGAGGAAGGTTTTCCCTCTCTCCTTTCCCTCTGCAAAATCATTTTAATGGCTGAGTGCCCCCTCCTGTCGGGCACACACCATGTTCAGTTGCATCAAGAGTTAGAAAACGACTCCTTTTTTCCTCTCTTCCTGAATCACCCTGTTTTCCCTCTGCTTTGGGGAAAGTCCTTCTATTGCAGATGTGACTCCTTGCAGAGCTGTGACTGCAGTGCCCAGGCTGCAAGAACAGAAGCATTTCAGGTGCCAGAATGGTTATCTTTCCTCGTGGTGGAATGGGGTACACAGAGAAGGAGGACTTCCATTCTCAGGGTGGATGTGCATCTGGGAAGGCACGCAGGGCAGGCACTGTCTTGGCCAGTTCAGCCAGCAGCTGCATCCAGCTGGCAGAAAGCAACGCCCTCTGTGATATGTGCACACCAAACAGTTGCTGGATTGAATATTTTAGGTCCTGTCTACAGTGTTACTGATGGGCTTTCATTTGCCAGTGAGTTTCCCGCACACAAACACGCACTCCCTGGCAATGAGCTGAAGACCTTCCATCAGATGAGCCACGCGTCACTTCCTCCTCCCAGCTGCTGATGCCTTCTCCACCTGGATGGCTTTATAACACATCTCCCCTGCCTCAGCTCTACATCTCACTCTTGCAGGCAGCATGCTGTTGCTTCCCTTACTCGTTGTGACTTCACTTTGGTCCCGTAAGTGCCGTTTCCCTTCTCCTCTCCCTCCCGTGCATGGAGAACACAGTCCCTGCTGCAGAGCTTGGTGGCTCCTGGCCTACGTGCAGTTTCTCCCTGTTCCCTTGCAGGTGGGGATGCACAGGCTGCACCGGTGCAAAGCCCAGCAGAGCGCAGGCTGGTGGAGGGCAGCCCAGTCACCATGAGGTGCCAGCTGAGCAGTGAAACCACTGTGCACTGGTACAGGCAGCTTCCCGGGGAGCCACCCAAGAGGATACTGTACATGTCTGGATCCTCACCTATCTTCGATGACAACAACGACGGATTTAAATTTCGAGTGCAGAAAAGTACTTCCAACAGTGTTCTGACAATAAAGAAAGCATCCCGGAGGGATACTGGTACTTATCTCTGTGCATATTGGTATTACCAAGGCTACACAGCATTAGATGGGCAAAGATAAGCCGTACAAAAAGGCATCTGGCACTCTGAACCTCAAGCTGTCAACTCCTGCCAGATGCAGATTCTTTTTAGGCCACCTTTCTCTGGTGATCTTCTGCAGCAGGAGAGCAAAAGCAGAAGATTAACATGGCAAATGCTAAATGAATTATCTTAACTAACTCTCAGAATACTTCTTCTGTACTTACACATAGCTGTAACATGCAGAAACTGAACAGTCTTAGTCACTTCAGGATAAAAACCGGTGACTTTGCAGATATGGCAAAGAACTGACTGTACTCAGAGCACTCAGCTGACAGTGGGCACAGACTGTGTGCCTGTGGACAACGAGTAGTTGGAAATTTCCCTTCTTCATTGAAAGCTGTACAGCAAACGTAGAAACATATCTCTATCTCCTGCAGGCTCTCACTTGAACGGAGGCACACAAGCAAAGCAATGAGAGAAAGCTACATGTTCTTCTAGATCCTCCTTCATTCTTTCTCTGCTGTCATTTCAGGTTCTACCAACTCCTTCTGCAGCACCGATGGCTCAATTTCACTGTGTCAAGTTCTCACCTGTTGCATCCAGACAGAACTTCTCTCTTCTTCCGTGGGCCTGCTCTCCAAGGAGCCCTTTGAGCACAGTGCACGGAGTTCTAAGAATTAGTCTATGGTCAAAGCCTCTTTTCACCATGCAGAGCAAAGCTGGCATTTGTCTGTCAGTTAGCTCCAGAACTGAGTACTGCATTTGATTAGAAGCCTCGGGCACAACATCCTGTGAGGTAGTGCACTGGAGAGACTGGACCTTCAGCCACACAGAGATTGCCATAGTGGTGGTTTTGCAAGGCTCTGAACGCTGCTCGTGCTGAATGTGCCCTTGTGCCTTTCTGTCCTTGCAGTCCTTTCCCAGGTTGCTGCAGCTTCTTGACAAGCACAGCCCCGTGTTGTTATGCACAGAAAAAACACTGCTGGTGACTTCTCCTCCCACTCAGTGTGTCCCCATCCGGGGCCCCACATCTCTCAGTCTCAACAGCAGCAGAGCAGGAGCAGCAGACATGCTGCTGCTGGCATCTCTGATGGTTGCAACTGCCTGGTCCTGTAAGTGCTTCAGCTTCTTTTTCCTCACGGGCAACCATGGATTGTGCCCTCACAGATGCCTTCCCAAGTAGATTGCTGCCAATGAATAACAGTTTCTCCTCTTCTGCTTTTCTTTTTCTTCTTCTTTTTTTTTTTTCTTTTTTTTCTTTCTCTAATTCTAGATGGACATGCACAGGAAACTCCCATACAGAGCCCTGTATCCATCACCATGTCACAAGGAAATGCAGATCTGAAGTGTCATTTTAAGGACTTCTCTGGACATTTTGATAGCACCATCATACACTGGTATCAACAGAAGGAGAATAAAGCTCCAGTCAGGATGATCTACTTTTCATCAGGGACAGTAGTAGCAGATGAGAGCTTCCAAAGGCACAGATACAGGATTCAAACTATTTCTGGACAGAATCTTTGCATTCTTACCATAAGAAGTGTAATTCCAGATGATGCTGCCACGTACTACTGTGCCTACTGGGACCCTCACAGTGGCAGATGCCAAACAATCACCACAACAAATACTTCCTCAGTAGCTCAACCACAGATCATTTGGAACGACCAGGTGCCAAGCAGATTTCTGCTCTGTGGGCAGAAGAATAGCAATGGACTGATACACAGTTCATCTGTCCTGGTAGATGTTGGCCACAGGGTTTAGTCTCATGTTCTCTCCATACGGTGCCTAACACAAATGTGGTTGTAACTGGCTGAGGTTGCCCACACAGCAGATGCAAGGAGTGACTGTGTGTGTGCATCTCTCTCCCTTCTCCTTCAAGTCTCTTCCATCCTTCTCTCCTCCTTGCTCATGCATTGAAGCCACCTACCTGCCATTCCTGACATGAAATGAAACGGCTTTTGCCGTTGCTGTTTGCTAGGAAGAGAGGCAGTCGTCCAATGCTCTCAGCAATACGAGCATGACACCACATTGCCACGTGTCTCTCTGCTTTTGTTTTCCAGTCTTTCTCTCCACGAAGTGTTTGCATTTCTTCTGAGGCTCAGAACTGAAATCCTGTGGCTGTGCATTTCCTCCCACACTCCCAATCAAAGGCAGGGCACACGCTCACGGTGCTGCTGCCCGTTGCTGAACGCTGATACCTACCGGCTCTTCAGCAGAGGGCAGCATGGGCAGAGAGCATTTCATTGTGCTGGAGATGGGTGTGCATGCTGGGGCAGTTGAAGGGGGCCCCACATGGAAAAGAACATACCTCCTATCCACTCTGAGTGATGGCACACACTCAATGACCACCAGGGTGTCCTCTCATCTGGCAGCCTTGCTCCTGATGCCCAGCTGCTCTTGCTCTCAGTCCTTTCTCAGTAGCTCTTATGCAAAATTGATGTCCTTGGATTGAGCAATAGTTGTTGCATTTCTCTGAAAAGGAGATGTGATGATAAACCTTTAACCAACCTGAAGGAACATTTGCAGGTCTTACTCAATATCAGGCTGTTGTGTTATTACAGCCCTGTATTGTTATGCATAGAAAATACATCACTGTAGACTTCTCCTCCCACTCAGTGCAGCCTCCATCCAAGGCCCCTTTCATTCTCCTCTGAGTCTCAACAGCAGCTGAGTTGGAGCACCAAACATGCTGATGCTGGCAGCTCTTATGGCCACAAATGTGTGGTTTTGTAAGTCCTTTTTCTTTTGTTTTCTTCTTAGGGTGCCCTTTGCTGCACTAACTACTTTCCTAATCCCTGAATTTCAGCTAACATCAGTTACACATTTTATCTCTTGCAGACGGATTTGCACAGGAAATTCCTATACAGAGTCCTATATCCATCACCAGGTTCCAGAAAAGTGCACGTATGTTCTGTGAAATGAAGAAATTACCAGGACGTTTTGATAGCACTGTCATACACTGGTATCAACAAAAGGAGAATAAACCTCCAGAGAGGCTACTCTTCTTTGCAGGAGGGAAGACTACAGTTGAAAGTGGCTTTCAAGGGAACAAGTACATGGTTGATAAAGTTTCTAGTCGGAATCTGTGTATTCTTACAATAAACAATGTAAGTCCAGATGATGCTGCTACTTACTACTGTGCCTACTGGGACCCTCACTGTGATAGAAGCTCAGAAACCATCAAGCCACAAAACTCCTTCAACCACTCAACTTCAGCTTCAGTCTGAACCACAGGATTGTTACTGCCTCATTCCCCAGCCTTCTCACTCCATCTGCTATCAGCTGTGACCAGAGCAAACACTGCCCAGATGCAGAGAATCACAAACAATAAAGGTCTGGAAGGGACCTCCGCAGATCATCCAGTCCATCCTCCCTGCTAAAGCAGATTCCTTAGAGCAGGTGATACAGGGAAGAGTCCCAGAAGTTCTTGAATGTCTCCAGAGGATGTCTTGGTGTCTTCTGGATGATGCTGCTACCTGCTATTGTGCCTACTGGGATGCTCACAGTGGCAGCAGCCTAACAATCACCTCAATCAATACTCCTCCAGCAGCTCAACCACAAACCATTTGAAAGATCCCAGCTCACTTCCCCAGCATGGAGGAGTCTCCTGAACACGTGGGGGATTTCCTCATTGCTGACCATCTCTTTACAGATGTCAGCTTCCAGAAGACAGGATTTCAAGCAAACCAAGGGTGCCACGGCTGAAGCAAACAGTGGACGTCTAAAACGTAACCCAAACTCAGCACTTCAGGTGCTCTTCCTTTTTCCTCAGGCATAGCCATGAACTGTTTGTAGTGGCTCAGCTTGGATAGTAGGGAAAATTTCTTCTCAGCAGGAGTGGTGATGTGTTGGAACAGGCTGCTCAGGGAAGCGGTGGAGTCCCCATCCCTGGAAGCTTTCAGCAAGAGGGTGGATGTGGCACTTAGGGACGTGGTTTGTCAGCATGGATGACAGTTGCACTAGATGATCATAGCAGTCTTTGCCAACCTTCATTATTCTATGATTGCTTCAGTACAAAGCAGTGCTTTTTCATGGTGGTGACACTCTTTCATGTATCTAGTTGGTGTCCAAATGTGCTATTGTTGAGTTTTGTCCTACAAATGCTTGCAAGCCAAAAACACACAGAGGAATTGGACAATATTTCTGCAGCACTCAGAGCTTTTCTTTCTGTGTTTCTAACTATGAGATGCAGTGGAATCCTTCACAGCGTGACTCAAGACACAGCTGGGGAAGAACTGGTCAGCTTCTTTCTCTGCCTGTGTTACTGCTGGTATTGCATTATGTTTGCCATAAAAGTAATAGAATTTCTGAAGTTGGAAAAGCCCCATAAGATTGTGAAGTCCTCATATCCAGCAAGCACTACTAAGTCCATCACTGATCCATGTCCCTAAGCACTACATCCACATGGCTTTTAGATACCTCCAGAGATGGGAACTCCACCATTTATTTAACTGGGCAGCCTATTCAACAATTCTGCCCAGAAGAGTTTAGAGTAGATGACTGTTTCTCTTAAATCTGCTTAAACAGAAAGTTGGTCTGAACTGCTTAAACCATCTGCAGTCTGGTTCCTCCCTGTAGCCACAAACCGTACTTTCTTGACATTGGTTTGTAGTCATTAGGGCACACAGTGTCCCAGAAGTATTCAGACTTTTTCTTTGACACGTCAAGCTAAGCATGCAGGCTGGCTCACAGTACCTGGGTTTTCTCAGATGTTATCCTGTGCTGTGCTGAAAGGAACAAGCGTGCAAAGGAACAGCCTTCATCATCCTCTGCTGACACAGGAAAAAATGTCTGTGAGTGGTTATTTCAGGGTCGGGGTCGAGTTCAGGAGGCAGACAGCTAACAGACACGTGCTGGGACAGAAAATGGCAGATGCAGCACATGGACACCTTCACAATGGACCGCAGAGTGGCTCCCAGTGCTGGATTGTATCCTAGTAGTAGCAGATGGTACTTAATTCTGGATGAGAGGTGGAGTATGCCCTTGAGGAGGAGCAGTGTGATCACCTGAGTGTATGTGGTTCCTTAAGATGTATGATCCCATGGGCTGACTTGTTTGTGTAAAATTGAAGAGGATACCTTCACTTAATCATTGTAAGTGGATGGGTTATCTGACCAATTTAGGACCTTTTTAGAGAAAGATTTGATCTAAAGGGAATTATATATCTGCTGAATACTGAGTGCAAATCTGAAATTCCTGACATCCTCCAACAAGGCAATGCCAGCCCATCCCTCAAGGAGTCCCCAAGGGCTTGAATAGTAAAAAAGGGCTTTTTGTTTTCAGTGACTGCATGTTATGAGAGCACTTCAGATTTTTGCAAAGCTAAAGCACAGTGTGTAATGTGTGGATCAAATACTTCGGCACAGGGACTAAGCTGATTGTCTCAAGTAAGTACCATTGATACCAATCTGATTTTTACACCGTTATTTGTGTTGTTAGATTATTATAGTTGTTAATGTAAGTGTTTAGGAAAAATAATTTCTGACTGATAGGTCATATTTTGTCTCTAATCTGTGAATGTGCTTGCAGTTGGGTGTTGGTGGGCATGAATATCAACCTAGTGGATAGAGAGATCACAGGAAAGATTTCTGAATATTTATTGAGGATGGGGGGTGGAAAAACGAGGAGAGGTAGAAGTTTAAATGTTGTGGTGGATGCATTCCTTGTGCTGTTCCAGGAAAGAATAATGAATTGAGAGAAAAGAACAGCTTTCAGTTCAACTAGTCAGAAATGCCAAAACTTGCTTGTTTATAGATGTGATTCAGCCTAAATTAATGGGGAAGAAAAATTGCCAGGAATTGAATAAATGTCGTGGTCCTGGCTGTAGCTAAAGCAACCGGCTTCCCTTTGCCTTCAGTGACTCCTCAAAAACTGTGCAGTCTGTAGTATGAATGCTACTGTCAGTACAAACCATCCAGCAGTGCCTACAGTGCCTTGCTCAGAAAATACATGAGCTTACCAAGGTGAGTATAAAGAAACCAAACTGCAAAAAGCAGAAGAAAGTTGCAGTTTCCTGCAGTTTGCAGTTAGATTTTGTCTGTATACAGGCAGGTATTTTTGCCAAAGAGGGAACAGTGTAATCACTCAATACAGCCACAAACTTCATTAAACACATACCAGGTGTTTTTCTAGTTTAGAATATGGTCTCTGCATGTAAAATATTGGCTTTGAAGTAAGAGTGTGATGTACCTTAATCTAAGGTATTTTCACACAGCAGTATTGTGCAAGATACCTTATCTAAATCCACAAATACCAAGTAATTAATTTTATTTTCCTTTGGGAATGATAATGTAACCACATTTCTTATTAAAATAACAGCTAAAAGTTACTTTAGAGAAAATGAGGTAGGCTAGAAGCAGCAGATTTTGTTACAAACATCCCAGCACTAAAAGGGCTAAAGCATAGTAAGTAAGCATGACACAACTTTCTTTTCAGGAAATGCTACATTTAAAAATTGGGACATTTTATTCTCCATGAAAAAATAAAATAAAATCATAGTATTTCTAAATATTGCACTCAGTCCATACTAAAATTTCAGTTATTATGCTGGCCAAATTATCACCAGCTTCTAAATCAGAGAAATAATCTCTGTGGCTTGTGAAAGAAAAATGAAGTGCAGAAGATATTGCTAAGCATTATCACACTGTGCTATGGTGATGAGAAAATATTTGGAAGTGGAACTAAGCTTATTGTTTCAGGTGAGTGTGAAATAAAACTTACTACATCTGAAATGCATTTCCATACTGTTAGATGTTGACTACATGATGTGCTCTGGTTCTTTACCTCCCACTAGGATTAAAACAGAATGCTTTGCAGGATTTTACCTGCAAACAGTATTTTCTGATGCAGAACACAACATCATTGTTTTGTATTTGTATATGAAATGGGAAAAATGAGGCAATTATTCTGGTGGAGAATATAATTAACCCCTTTTTTTCTTCTTAAAGATGAATTTAAATGTGGCGAAGATAATGTTCAGAGAAAAAAGATTTTAATTTTTTTATCTTTAATGGTGCATATTCCACTCTTGTGACATGTCTAATTCATTCCAAAAGACTGGCAATCTTGGAAGAGCAAAGAAGAGCAAGACGCTTATTTTTGTCTCAGTCTGACTATGTCAAACAGTGGGAGAATGCCCAGAACTGTCTTAAGACCTGCACAGCTGAAAGACTGCTCTCTCTCCCTCTCTCTCTTAGTATCATTTATTACATGTTATCAGTTGTTATTATTAAGAGTGCTGAACTGTAGAGACACTAATTTTCCTTTCCCAAAGTACTGACATACTCTATCAAATTTTATTGCTTCACATAACGTTCAGATGTTTGATGCCTGCCTGTGGTTTGGCTTGACTAAGTACCTGGGATAGAAACTCTAATTTTGCTCATCTGAAAATGGGGTGTATTGGTAATGGGAGGTTTGATGTTTAATTAAGGTTTTGCTTCATGCTCTGATAACAAAAATTCTGATCAGGGGGTTTGTGCTGCTCAGCTCTCACCATAATGTTCACTAATTCTAGGGCTGATTTTATGGTGCTTTAAGGGAGCGTTTAAGGCCAGGTTGGACGGGGTCCTGGGCAGTCTGGTCCTGTATTAAATGTGGAGGTTGGTGGCCCTGCCTGTAGCAGGGGCGTTGGAGCTTGATGATCCTCGAGGTCCCTTCCAACCCCGAGCCATTCTGTGATTCTGTGATTCTATGATTCTGCTGTTGCTGCTTTCTCCAAGTAGCAGATAAGGAGTGAAATTACTTAGTCTGCTACATCCATCTAAATTTTTGAAAGACTGAAATTAGTTGAGATGAACCCTGCCCATTTAGCAATGAACATTTCCTCAAAGTCTTCACACCATGTATTTAGTTAGTTAGTTACTTTAGGTTACTGATTATTTTTGCTGTTCTAGGATCTAAAAATTGATTAAATCAAATCTGTTTATAAAATAATATTTACTCATAAATTAAATGTGCCCTTGTCACAAAGAAGGCTGGCAGTATCTTGGGCTGCATTAGGCGTAGCATTGCCATCAGGTCAAGGGAATGGATCCTTCCTCTCTGCTCAGCACCAAGGAGCCCACTTGTGGATTTGTCCAGTTCTGAGCTTCACAGTGGGACATTGGTGACGCATTGGGACACAAGTGGGACATTGGTGTATTTGGGAGAGTCCAACACAGAGCCATGAAGATGGCAGAGGGATTGGAGGAAAGGCTCTGAGAGTTGGGTCTGTTCAATCTGGTGAAGAGGAGGTTCAGGATCATCTCAACAATATCTGTAAATTCCTGAAGGGAGGGTGTGAAGAAGATGAAGTCAGGCTTTTTTCAGTGGCACCCAGTGTCAGGACAAGAGTCCATGGGCAACGTTAGCCATTCTGAGATACTATGATATAAAGATAACAGATCTGATATTGTAAAGACTTTATCCATCGTGTACAGATATTACTACAAAGTTTTCGGCACTGGTACAAAGCTCATTGTATCAGGTAAGTTACTTTCCTTACCATAAGATAAAGGAGTTTTTTGTGTTCATGCAGATGGATTATTATGGTGTCCAGGAGGACATTCAGCTTGCTTAGAGCTTTGGTCAGCACTGTCCCCGCGTGGGTTTCCCTCATCTTGTCATTCTGTCAGTCTTGTTGATCTGTAATGCAGTGGTTTAGGATTGCAAATATACCCAGGAGCTGTTTTTTTATCACTTATGAGCATAACTCCTCCTTGGAAATACTGTGAAAAATGATCAGGAGTAGTTTCAAGAGCCCTCATGCTTTCTTCCAATTACCGAAGCATTAACAACAGAATCAAGCAGTTGTGAATTAAACATAAAAAAAGAAATCCTCTTCTCAATACGGATTCAAGTAACAGTTTGCAATGGTGAAAATTGCTGAAGTCCTTTTTCAGTTAGACTAGTAAAAGTGAAAGAATTTGTGCTTAATTATTTTTGTTATCTACACAGCGCTTTGGCAGTAGAAATAAAATAGTACCTCCAAATTCTCCTCTTCTTATTAACATATTATTAACATTAACATTATTAACATATACTTAAAGAAGTCACCTTTTTCTTGCCATTCCTGCTGAGATATTTATTTGAATGGTACACTGAGGACAAAATCCTCCCTCTTCCCCATTAACTGGTGATCTAATCACTGTAATCCTAGGGTGGACTATTACAGAAACACAAGGGTGAGGAACTATTGCTTCCAAATATTTTAAGCCTGATTAAATGCCTTGCCTTATACTAGCATATCCATCAAAGATTGTTTTAAGCAATTCCTTTATGAAAGACTAGCAAAATCATAACTATAATTCACTAGAAATATCTATGTTGGGACATTTTTCGTGTTAAGTGAAATTAAGTGAATTAAGTGAAAGCCCTTACGTTGGTGATCAGGTGGTCACCATTTAATTAGTATTTACAGCTTAAAATAAATGATTTTCAAGTGTCTACCAAAACTTGCAGGATTCAGTTTCCTTGACAAGGGCCAAGGTTCCTGACTAATTAAGAGAATAAAAAGCCTACATTTACCTCATGCTTATGATCTGGCACCTCACAAGTACGTTGCTAGCTTATTAGGAAGTAATAAGACAAAGAATCTATTAATATTTCTAGTAAATAAATGCACAGCAGAAATTGCAGCAGCAATATTTGATTTCTTTAGATGCCAACTCCTAAATATTACCAAGGAATCTACCATGATTTCATCAGAAGCATGAAGTTCAGTAGTCAAATAGCTAGAATTATTTTTTGCAATTTTATAGACTAAAATACATCTTGCTTATATATTGTTTATGCTTACATTTACTTACATCATCTAAAATTGAATTAAATTGATATTCTGCCCTTTTAAATCAAAATGCACTCATTAGTATTTTTCTGTGTTTGCTTTTTGTGTGTGTTCATGGGGAAGAACATGAAGTTCTGAATCAAAACCCATTAGATTTGAAAGCCCAGACCAGTGTTATGGAGAAAGGGTTGTGCATGAAACAAATAAGGGAAGATGTGGGCAATCTAAAGAAAACTGCAGAGCTAATCCTCGTTAATAATATTAGTAGGTACATCTGCTAATGACTTTAGCAGAAATAACAAGGATGTCACAGGCCTGAAGGTGAACTGAGTACCTCTTTCTTTTAAGGAAACCTAGAGGAGAAAGAATGTGGTATGCTGTTCTAACAAGGTAATACAGATGACAGACAAGTGATGTGGAATTTGCAGTAGCAAAATCCATCTCAAATTTACCGAAATGCTTGTGTGATGCTGCCATTTTGGTACTGACGCCCTACACTAACATCAGTACTCTGTATGCAAGTGGGGTAGGAGCAGGAGGTCAACAGTCCTGACCCCACACCTGTGTGAGCATATTGCAATGGACCTCAGCATGCAGAGTTAGATCCCAAATGAGTAAGGGCTCCTACAACAAGCCTGAGAGGAGCTGTGGCTGTTCAGGACTGTCCAGCCCAGATTTCCTGTAGTGCTTTTCATTAATTCAGTTAAACAGGAGCCCAAGGCGTTTCTTTATGTGCACCATCTTTGGCAAAAGAATCATTTTCCCCTCTCAATTTTTTAATAAAAAGCACAATCACTCTTAGTTACACCATGATACAAAAGAACAACCTAAATAGTTATCTAAATGGTTTATCTAAATAAAGGTTATTTAAATAATCCTAATAGTTACACTTCCAGTTGCCTTCCAGTACAATATTTCCTCCTTATAGTTGTTAACCCAAAACAATCTGTGTTTCACAGAAATTGGACATGGATTGCTGAGTAATACTGTGTGATGAGTTTCAGCTTTTGTGCATTAATAGATTCAGCTAGAGAAACAGCCTACACATATTGATATCACCAAAGCAGGCTGATTTTGCTCACAGATGATGAAAACATGCTTGACAAACCTCCGCTCCCATGGATCTTTAGAGATCTTTATTTCAGTGTATAGAGAAGCACACACAAAATTTGTTACAAAACGAGAACTTGGAAGGACTTGAAAGAGATAAAAAAAGGATTCAAAATGAGTGGTTAAGACCTTGCATTCAGTTTCATATCATAAAATCAAATAAAATCAATGCTTTCAGGATCATGTGGTCAAAAGCAACTCAGCATCCCTAAAAAAGAATTAATTTCTCTGGGGAAAAAAAAAAAAAAGAAAAAGAAAAAAAGTAGAAGATGTGTGGTAGCTCAGTCAATGCCTCAGAAATCAACAGTTTTGGTTTATTCTAATATCTTCTAAAAAGTAATAGCGAAGATCAGCTTGAAATGGAATTTTAAGTGCATTTCACTGAAGACTCTTTGGGAATAGAAATGAAAACTGAAATTGAGCTCATAGTTTCCACATGATTTTTAGCTAAATAACTAGACTCTCTTTGTTCATAAAACGGAATACTTCTCTGGCCAAAATGTCATAAACATTTTCTGTGAGGAAATACAGCAGTGTGGTTATACCAGATACTTGGCACTGGCACGAATCTCGTAAACTCATTTCCATCAGGTCTTTTAAAGTTGTTTTTCTGTTTGTTTTGGATTGGTGTTTGTTTTGTTGTTGTTTATTTGTTTACATTTTGTAATGGCAAAGTTGTGAAGGTTGAGCGGAGGCTCCTTCCTTAAGTTTCCTGGGGAGGCTCAGCATAGGCAATGTTATCACCAACACTTCAGAACCAAATGCTGTCTATAAGCTGAGTGCTCTCAGCTCATTTTTTGAGGGGCCACCCAAAAAAGGATAATTAAAATTTCAATCCAACTCTCCCTGCTTTATTACAAGAAAAGCCATGCACTGGCTTAAGAATTATGCGCAGGTTACATCTGCATGGTGATAATTGTTTTAAAAAGACATGGCTGCCTCTTCAAGCCTGCATAAAAGAACTGTTTGATGAAATAAGCAGCACAGAGAGAGCGTAACTAAAGAAAAAAAGGCAGCAGAGTGTAGAGTGGACATTTACTACTTGAACATTCCTCAGAAAGTATTGGATCTTGTGCACAGATAAGTCAGTGTAAATCAGCTTGCTGACTTAATTAACTTTACAGATAAGCCTGAAAATACATCAAAATCCACTGACAGGTTTTTGACATTTTTTTCTGCTAAACATCATTGCAGCTTATCTATATATTCACACACAATCGCACGTATTTTCATGCATCCTGGAAAAACTTCCTGTTCCCAAATAAATAAATGAACACGGCTCTTGCTGGAACCATCACTTATTATTTAATAATTGCCTATGACCTATGCAGACTCTGTTTGAGAGCAGTTCTGCTGGGAAGGCCATGGGATATAGGCTGCCCCACAGCCCCCTAACATCTTCTGACTCAGCTTCAAGGGAGAGTGGCTTTGAATATATTCAACAGTATTTCAGCTTCTTATCATGTTTCTCAAAATAAAATAAAATAAAATAAAATAAAATAAAATAAAATAAAATAAAATAAAATAAAATAAAATAAAATCCCACCCCAAAAAAAACCAACCCTCCAAACATTTTTGAACACGTATCTAAAGTTTTGACTAACCGGACAAAATTTAATTTAATAAAGCACTCAAGAAATCTTTTGAGAGATCGTTTTTAATGTACAGTGATAAAAACTTCTCTATCAGATGTGCTGCTTGAGGAGAAGCATGAGCAGAGCTGTCCAGATATTCGCGTTCACTGAACAATTTGGAATTCAAATGATGCTTCGCCATGCGCGTGGCAGAGTATGAAAGCTTCTATCCAACATTCTCTGGACTTGGAAGAGTCTATATGTTGTATAAGCAACATTGAGTTTAGACTGTCTTAAGTGAATCTTCTACTTTTGCAATTGATTTGCTGTTAGTTCTCTATGAAATAGCATATTTAAAATAAGATTGGAAGTCCTGTTTTCTATTCCCAGTTATTCAAAAGAGTCTTGTAACTGTTTTTGACTGGAACCCAAGTGGTAGAATTTATTAGTTTAAATTCATTTCATATAAACCGTGTCTAAATGTCAAGTACAGTCAGCTCAAATGAAAGCGTATTTTTACATGAAGGATAGCAAGGGTTGTAATCCATCCATCTGCTTACCTAAAATGTATTTTGTACCTGAGCCATCGCCATTCCCATCCTAAGTATTTCATAATAAACTGGAGAGCTAAAGTATTCGTCGAGAAGAACTATTTTGTCTCTGAACACCTGTGATTTATTGCTGTACACTTCCAAGATTCCAACTCTTTGTTTTGTTATTTCTCTTCCCCTCCAAAAATAAATCCAGACAAAGGAAATTCTGGACCAGAGAATTCTGAAATCCTGCAGAAGGAGCACAAAAACCAACTCGTGTATGTTTGTCTGTTTGAGAAATTCTACCCAGAAGTTGTTCGGGTGAAATGGATGGATGAAGCACAAAAGGAGGTAACACAGAACGTAGTAAAAGGAGATGTCTGGAAGTTTCCAGGTGAGGAGAAGTACTCAGTCAGCTCCTGGTTATCTGTACCACTGGAGGACAAAAACAAGAAATATTCTTGCCATTTTGAGCATGAAAGTGGAATCTATTCACTGCTCACACATGGTAAGCACTGCATTTTAAATGTTTTATTCTACCTACTATGTCTTTCCTTTTTTTTTTTTTTTTTTTTTTTTTAATAAATGAATTTTTATTTTTCAGCAAAATTCCAGAAATAATGCTGTACATGACTGCTCCTGCAAGCTTCTGCATTCCTAGGCACCATTACTAAAGTTCTCATCAGCTGAAACAATCTAAGCTTTTCCAGGAGAAAAAAATCAACCCGTGCTGAGTTTGCCAAGCGAAGGCCCCTTTGTAGTTCTTCAGTGTCAGCAGGTGTAAAGCAGGGTTGCACCAAAAGGTCTGCACTGCCTTACCTGGCAGCATGCAGAATTTCTTCAAAACCGTGTTACAGCTGTGTTACAGCAGAGGCATCGATCCCTCTGACATCAGACATGGCTATAATAAATGCAGGAGGCAAAAATAAGGCTGATGGGTGTGTAGAGCAATGTTTGAATATGTTACTTATTCATGGTCTGGTGGCAGTGAGGTAATAACCACTTTAAAAAGAAAGAAATTATTTAATTGCTGGAAAACTGATTACGTGAGGAAAAATCTGAAAGCCAATACAGTTTCAGAGGGAAAAAAAGGCAATCTATAATAACTGGTCTAAACCTACAAATGGGTTGTATCATGGTAACATCACTGAGAAAGCTGCTTATTCTGGATAGGTGAATCTTTCCTGAGCTCACCTTGCTGTACAGCTCCACTCCGTGAAAATGTAGCCATACACAACTATTACTTTCAGAATATATTCTGACAAAAGTATGTTTCAAGTGTACTTATAGCCCCCACCTCAATGAATTCAAATACCATAACCGAGAACAAACCCCAAAAAGAAAAAAGCTCAAGAAAGGGAGGCAGTTTTAGAGACACCAATCTACCACTGGAACAGCAAATTCACAACAGGGAACGCGAGTGACAACCGGGTGCTCAGATTGACTTCAATTGGGAAATTAAAGAGCTGCTGCCAAAAATCTGCCTAACAGAGGCATTCACAAAAGGGCAAAAGCAAAGCCCCGGGTTAAGGCAACAAACACTCATTCACTTCTGGATCAACATTTGTCCCCCTCAATTCCCCCCATGACGGAATCCTACTGGTGGACAACTGATCTACAGACATGTCTTGAACATCCTACTTTTTTAAATACTAACTTCCACTTCACTGTTGCTCTTCTTTTTAGCCCTATGTTAATCTTTGTTAAAATTTAAGTCCAATTTTGTCATTTAAACTCTCTTTCCATTACTTTCTTCAGTGAGCTCTCCTGAGAAGCAGGACTGTGACATTGAATCTAGAAACAGCACAGTTTTTAACAGAGGTAATGACAATGAATTAAAATGGGGGAAAGCAATGTGGAAGTTAGATATCGCTTAATATGAACAACATGAACATTTTAAATAGCTTGCAGGAAATCTGTTAAATTCTGGGGTCTGCAACTTAAAAGGGCTTTCATGCTACTCTGAATCACCATGTTTTGGAGTATAAAAAGCAGCCCTCCTGGCTGGACTTTGTTAGCTGGTTGCAGATGCTGGGGCTGCTGCCCTAGGTTATTAGCCTGCATTAAACGTCACTGCTTTAAATACTCAACACAGTTAAATGCACAGCGCTTGAGCTGATGCTCCTTCAGACTAGCAACTGGCAAAGAAGCTTTCCTTTAGATTGAATGAGGATTTAGGAAATACTTTGGGCACTCGTGTCAAGAAACTGATGCAAAATGATTCCAGGAAACACGGTGTTATCGATGGTGGAAGAGCCAGACGCTCTTGCATTGCAGGGAATGATAACCTGGCAGCCAGTCTAGCGCTAAGAAACCTGCCCCATCTGCAGCCTGCTCAGGGGACAGTCAGACACTGTGTCATGTATTTCCACATAAATGTAGCACACAGACCTGGCTCTACCTGTTTCTTCTAGGAGGTTGCACAGTACTGATGTTCAACAGGAATTTTCTGCCTTACATTTGTTGCAGATCACTTGACGCACAAGGCAGCGCAGTTGGTGTACGTTGTTCTGCTTCTGAAGAGCTCCATGTACTATGTCATAGTACTCTTCTTCTTCTTCAAGTACAGAGCAAGGAATGCAGCCAAGCCCTCGGGAAAGAGAACGTAAATACTGGGTTTGGAAAGGTTTATAAGATTGTCTTCAATTTGCTTTGCTGTATAATTATCCACATAGGTTCTCCTGCTCTCCATGCTAGATACAACAACAAAAACAATCCTAAGAGAACAGGCATATAGGGTTTGCTGTGCTTTACTGCTAGTGTTTTCCTAATTTTTTCTGAGTATTGAACTGAGGTGGAGGTGAGCAAAAAAAATAAGTTTACATGGGGTTTTAGTAGGAACTCTGTAATGCAACATGAGGAACCTCCTCCTGCTTAAAGTATTTTTGCATGCATAGGAGTAGAGGTGTAATGGAGCTTTCAAAACATAAAACATTGATGCATTTTATCAATGCATTTTAGGATCAGTTAGGAGCATTCCACTGCTGAAAACGCATCGATGCTTTTTTTTATTATTATTATTTTTTACTTTCAATGATTTATTGCAAAAAATAAATCAAGTCCACCAAAGCAGGACTTGAATATTCTGAAGTGATAAATGCTTTAAAAGACTCAGCAAGGCATGATTTTTGAAAGCAAAGATATTATCTTTTAGCAAGTTTAATGACCATAAAAGCAATTTTAACATGCATATCTATAGAAATTTAAGAAATTCACCAGGCCACAGGTAGCACTGCTGCACAAACTGAAAACTTGCGTATGGTATCTTCAAAGGTACAAAACGATCGCAGTTATCACCTTGTTTAGAGAAATCTTTTCAAACTCAGCAAAACCTTACAGCTGGTGCTTCAATAGAGAAAGTGTTCTCACATCACAAGAGAACTCTCAGATGCTGTACTTCGAACTCCTCATCTCCAGGTTTTGCTAATGTAGAGCTTGTACAAGTTTGGAGAGGAATGCCTGCACCAAACCTGTAAAGATGTAGAGCAATAAAGGCTTCCCTTGAGAGGCGTTTGTGAGATCTCTATTTGTTCTACAGGCTGTACCACGGTGTCTTGAAAGCTTGGTTATTTTCCATGTCCATTGAATTCCTTGGAGAATGAAGGATCCTTAAAACCACCTGTTTTTCTTTTATTCTTTTCCTATTTTTAAACGGGGACACAGTTCTACACAGACAAATGAAAATTAACCCATTAAGTCTTATCCATTGAACAGCAAAGCTGGGGAGAAACAACATGCTGTTACAACAGGCCTGTCTTCCACCCCTGCTCAAGAAGGGCTGCATAGAGCAGGCAGCTCAGGACTGTGGCCAGATGTCTTTTGAGTATTTCCATGGCAACCAGTAGCAAATCTCTGAGCCTCTCCTCATATGAAAGATACTCTGGTCTCTTGATTATCTCTCCTGGCTCTTTTCTGGGCTTTCTCCACATGCCATGTCTGTCTTGTACAGATGAGCCCAGAATTGGAGCCCTCAAAAGTACCAGAAAACCACTGCTGACACTCAAGACTCAACCAGGGACCTTTAGATCTTCAGTCTAACTCTCTCCTAGCTGAGCTATTTCAGCACTGCCTTAGCTTCAACATTTACAAAACCTGATGGAATGTAATTATCTTTCAGCTGTATTCAGCCAAGCTTTGCAGACATCATCTTGAGAGTCAAAGTGATTTCAGGGAACGAAATAGAGACAGACTGGGCTCAAAAGAAATGGTCCAACCAGCAGTATGAACACAGGGTCCCTGTCATGGGCCCTTACCTCTGTTTACAGAGTCTGTGTGTGAGCCTTTAGTAATAGGGTGATGGGTGATGTCTAGAAGAGAAGCAGGGAAACAAAACTTCTGTTCTTGAAGGAGGTGTACATCTACCTTTAGAACAGAGAAGGTATCTGTCACAAGCCAAAGGGAAATAAAGATACAGGGCTAGGACTCTATAATTTGACCTTACTGATGAAGCAGCAGAATGATAACAGACAGGAATGATGGATGATGAAGAGAAGGACAGTGTAATTGTACAGTGAGAATGGGAAGAAAATAAAACAGACAATCAAGCACAAACTGTTCTTTCTACAGAAAAGGAACTTGGTATCCAGGTGGACAACAGGTTGACCACGAGCGAGGAGTGTGTCCTTGCAGCCAAGAAGGCCAATGGGTTTGTTAAAAAGAGTATGGCCAGCAGGTCAAGAGAGGTTCTCCTCCTCCTCTACTCCATTCTGCTGAGTCCACATTTGGGCACTGTGTCCAGTTCTGGCGTCCCCAGTCCAAGAGAGGGTACTTCTAGAGAGAATCCGGAGGGGGACTACGAAGATTATTAGGATCCTGGAGCATCTCCCTCATGAGGAAAGGCTGAGAAACCTGGGACTGCTCAGCCTAGAGAAGAGAACACTCAAGGGTAAAATCTCATCGATGCTTATAAATATCTAAAGGGCAGGAGCCAAGTGCATGAGGCCAGGTTCTCTTTGGTGACGCCCAGTGATAGGACAAGAGAGAGTAGGTACAAATGGAACACATTTCTCACATTCCATCTGAACATGAGGATTGACTGCTTTACTTAGAGGATAAGAGGCTGCCCAGAGATGTTGTGGAGATACTCAATACCTTTGATGCTTTCTGTGTAACCTCTCTTACGGAATCTGCTTTAGCAGGGGGTTGGAATAGATGACCTCCAGAGATCCCTTCCAATCTTTAAGATTCTGAGATTCTATAATCTTTAGTCAAACTCTCTTTGAAAACAGGCTGATATCCTGCATTATTATTTGCTAAGGCTTGATTCCAGTGCAAGTGAAATACAACAGAAAGAAAAGTATTTGGGAAATGCACTTACTGTAGATTTGAGAAACATAATTAATATCACTGCCAGGCCTCCCTCACCATTATACCTGCTAGTCCATCAGGCTAGAAATGCATTTGATTGCTACAGTGAATCAAGTCTGCTTTTACTAAGCTCATCCTCAAATCCACTTGTGCCGTCTCACGTACAAATCAAAAGATGCTGTCCGTGTTGCACAGTGAAAAAAAGAGAAAACATGGCCTTTTAAGCTTCCTGAACAAAAAACCCTGCCCATAAGCAGTGCTGAACAATGTTCAGAATAGCTCTTATCTCACAGCTTATGGGGTTTCTCAAGTGCATAGCTGCAAGTCTCACATTTGCAACAGATCACATGCCCCTGTAGTGTATTTATACAGGCATACGCTGCTTATAGCACGTTTGTATTCTTATTTATTTGGCCCAAATAGGAGGACAAGTGGATGTTTTCAGGCGTGGGGTGCAGGGGGGGCTAATGGCAGGAAGCTTAGGTTGTTTAGTGGAAAAAACCTGTAAACTGAACCAGTCACAACCAGCTCAGAGGAGGTGGGCTGCGATGGAAAAGGGCGATAAGCTGAGGACAGTTAGACCACAGCCGCCCTGTCTTTCACCACAGAAAGTTTCTAAACCGCGGCGATGGAAATACAGAGTGATAAAACCACGTGCCTACGTGACGTGGTAAAAAACAGTGACACTGATGGCTCACTACACGTTGCTCTAACTGTGATAGCCACATGTAAGGGCTGCCGCTGTGCACAAGCACGGGTGCTGCAGGACTTCCACTCTTATTATCATGCATGCATGCCAGAGTTAGATGCTATCTAATGCAAATTTCTGCAGCCAGGACTTTCTTAATGCTTCAAAGGTACGTCTTCTCAAATGAGTGTCTTATCACAGCAGATTTTCAGTGCTTTCAAGCTTCTAAAAGCATGAGCATTACAGCTGCTGTGCTCCTGCTGTGGTTGCAAAAATAATGAAAGTATTGAGAAAATGACTGCAGTCAATCTGGTGCTTCTAATGAAAAGACGACAGAATGGAACACACATTTCTAAAACACAAAGGACTAATGTGCAGATGAATTTTTTTTTGTGGGAAGGGATTTCCTCTCTTTTCTTTGTCTTGCTAAGAAGCACTTTGCATCCTATATTGAACAAGAACTTGCATGGTTGAGAATTCTGATTTCTCATCTACTAAAATGCCCTAGAATAGGTGATAAGGATAGAAACACGCGGATTCCTCTCACAAATAGTTGCAAGGGAGAAAGATCTGCGTAAGGATTAGAGCAGCCTGCCAACAGCTGACTTCTGTCGATACCAGTTACCAAAACAAATTTTAAAGGAGATCCCAAGAGCAGACTAATCATTTTGAGACTCTGAAACATGCAGGGCACCAGCACACACTCACAGGTGCTGAGCAGATCAAAAACCTCCAAAGAACGGTTCAAGAGTTTGTTCCTCTGCATCTAAAGGGAAATAGATGAAATGGCAACAACAATCAATTGACAAGTTTTAGCTCCTGAGTCTCAACTATCACTAAATATACTTCCACCATACAGAAGTTTTATTTCAATCTTTTACCAATCTCTTGGCTAGGTGCACAAGACATCACTTGCAGTGATTATTCAGCTATTTAGAAGATCACTTCAGGTATGCATCGCAGACAAATATTTTCGTACTGCTTGCAAGTAATCTAACATGCATATGCCAACAAGGCACACCTTTGCTGCTGTGCAGCACACACTGCAGTACAGGGGAACCATTCCCTTTACTTTCTAATGAGTAATTCCTTCTACATCCACCATTCTTAAAGAGGACCAGAAGATCTCAGATCAGAATCTTCAGCTTCTTGGGGTTTAATTTTGCCTTTAGCTGGAGCTTTGCCATTTGTGGTAAAGCGAATGCAAGACAATCCTGAAAATAAATTAAGTCATTTCAAAAATGAGAAAATCAACTCTCATATTTAACTGAAGCACACCACAGAAATCTTCAGCAACCAGTGGTGGAGGGTAACACTCTCCTGGTATTAAGCAGAGGGAAGAAGGTACTACTCAAGTAGTTTTGTCTGACAATCTTCAAGATGAGTACATTTGTCCTACAACTAAAGTAAAAATAAATCTTTTCCTGGAACTTCCTCTCTCCAGAGAAATTTTTTGCACCCCTTCCCCTTCTGGTCCATCATTGTCTTTCCAGGATAGCTGTTGAAGAAATGATGGAGACCAGCCATGAGATCTGAGATTTGGGTGGTGCTGTGTGGAGCCAGGTGTTGGACTTTATGATCCTTGTGGATCCCTTCCAACTCAGGATATCCTATGATTCCATTTCATCCTGAGTCTTTTTCATCGTGCTGCAGAAGAGCTGCTTCAGCCCCTGCGCTTGGATTAGCCAGAATTCAGAAGCAGTTGAGTCCAACTCAGGCTCTGATCAGCCAGAACCCAGCAGGACTTCCTGCAGCAGGTTCAAAGATGAACTCAAAGAAATAGTCCAGTAATCAAATTATTTTGGGATGGAGCTAAAGAGAAAAAAGGTACCTATTTCCAAGAAAACTGGAGTTCTACACAAAGGTTCTCTCATTTACAATGAGTTTTCCACTGCCCTGTTTTTCTCTGAAGACTTCTTCAGATCCTAAATGGGAAGAGAGGATTGTTACTAACTCCGCTGAAAGAAATCACAGGCATTTCAAATCAAGCATTTCCCCCAAATTACTCCCTTTTTCTTTTAATCTGGAGAACATGCTTTTAGATGTAACCTGGAAGGCTTTTAATTATCAAATCCAAAAAAACAACTTCACTAGGATCATTGCTGAAATGCCTTTCCTCACAAAAGGTTTTGTCAGCAAGGATAATCAACTCCATGTTTCCTCCCTCGCAAGCAGTTTTTCCCACTCATTGCAGCCTTCCCCTTCAGAAGACATCTTCAGAAGCCCTTTTGGGAGCAGCCAGAAGCACTGCTTTACAAAATAAATCATTTCTGTAATAAGCAATCCGGAAAGAAGTTGTCTCAACTCCAAGCCACGACCCAAATAGCTCCTTCTGTTGTCTTCCCCTTGCCCCTTCATGCTCTAAGCCCTTAAGAAAGATCAGGTGGGCACAGGACCACGTACCAGAGATGGCTCCTGCAGGAAGCAGGGCTTTGCAGGAGGGTGGTTGGCTGTGTGTCATTTCAGGGAGACTTTTCCTCATCTTTCCTGGTGCAGCAAAACTGCTGCTTAT